TTTCTTAGATTTTTTTAGAAATAAGCTACTTATTAACAATCTTTTATTTATAGTYCTTGAGAAATAAATAGAAGTGTTGTTAAGCCATCATTCTCGTTTTTGTTTAAAAAAAAAAAGAAAAAAAGCTGAATTTTAGTTGAAAATATATCTTAAAAATAAATCATCCATAAGTTTGTCCTTTTTTATTATTACTTTTAAAATCTTATATAAACAATTTACGAGTCAAAACATATATATATATATATATATATATATATATATATTTTAGTACAACATTGTGGGGGTGGGGTTCGAACTCATGACCTTCTGATCAGAAATAGATGCTTTAACAATTTGACCTAGACTCGATTGGTTGACAATAAAAATAAAAATATATTTATAGCAATCTCATCACCCTTTTAGAACATTAGAAAAAATAAAAACCTAGAAAGAAAAAACAATCAAAATTTTTTGTTTATAAAAATACTTTCGAAAGATATAAACGATAAATAATCAAATCACTTGAACTCGAGCATAGTAATTAGTTTACTAGTTATTTCGTTAAGAATAAAAACGCATAGAAAGTAAACGAAAAAATAAAAATAAAAGAAACAGAAAGGTTATTAAATGSCTATATTATTTCAGTTTCTTTAACGCTTTTCTTTTTATTTCTTATTTGARTTTGTAAAACAAAATAGATAAATAATAAAATTATTTATTGAATAAATCTCAGTCTCATTCGTACAAGTATACACGTTAATACGAAGATAAAAAGTCAAACTTTCAAATAAATCATGTTTATTTATTTATTTAAAATGTTATTTATCGCCAGCTTTACCATCGTAATATTCTTTTTTTTTTTTGAATGAAATCCTAGAATTCATTTTAATTGTGCTAATCTTGACAAATAAACATAAATTAAATGAAGTTGATAATTACATATATTTTTAAGTAATTGATTTTTTTTATAAAAAAAATTAGCCTTAGCATAACATGCAAGCAACCTCGCATATGAAGACAATTGTATTTTCTCGGAGAAAAAAATAATAGAAGTCAATTAGGATCACATATGTAATTATATTCATAATTGACCAATTGAGATAAAATATTGTAAAATTAGTAGTTAGAAATTAATTATAACTAAAGACAAAAGGTAGGATATATGTTTAAATATTTRTTTTTATTGACTATCATTATCAAAATTAATCTAGCTACTCACTCAAATAAGGCCATCAAAGTCTTTAATATATTGTCTCTAGCTATTTTCATTGGCTAATATTTGTACTTCAACACATAAATACCTAACTTTAGATCAAGAGGTAGAATTAAATTTTAAAGTAGTGAAAAAGTTAGAGTTGATATGAAAAGGAGGAGATGAAGTTCTAAAATGAGAGTCCATCGATGAGTAATTAAGTGGAGGAAGATGCTAATGATTAGTTTTCAATTGTGACTAGCTATCATATGACCATAATATATGATTTAGTTGAGGGTATATATTAAAGATAAATGATTTTGAAAATTATTGTTTCCGGTGCACATCCTAAATGTGTCATCATTACTATTTTGTTTTGGTTGGTGCCGAAATTCAATCAGTTGACATGGYCAGTAAATAATAATGTGATCGCTTCCTTCGCGTACGCGTAACCTGCAAAATTGAACTCAACATCAGTGTGGTATTTAATCAAATGCACTCCAAATCTTAAATTATAACTTTGTCCACAAGAGTCCAGAGGAGAGCAAAAGTATAGTGCAAGATATTGCGTGTACCATTGAGAATGATTTGACCTTCTTATTTTATAAGGGAGCGATTTGGAAGAAGATGCWTGAAGCGGTACCGTTAGGCAGAGAGTTCTTAGTCGATTCTAAGAATATTCTGACTCACAAAATCGTACTCCCACTGATGATGTCACATCAGGTGAACTTTGTCCGAGGAACGTCGACGAGTTGGACTACCCATCCTTGGGACACGTAGATTTTCCCTCYTTGGCCTATCGAGTTTTGGATTCAGCTCATACTTTTCATAGTGTGYGTGGATTCTCTCATATATCTTATCGAGTTTCAATGAGCCCATAACATTTAATTTATTAACCTATTTTAACATTTTTTTAACAAAAAAAAATATATGGTTCAATTCGTTTTTCCTTGAAAAAAAACAAAAAAGTATGAAAAAATATAATGTTCTTACAGAATAATTATTGCACCTTCGTTCATGAAATAACATAAATTTTTTTCCCCATTAAGCAAATAGTTTTCTTTGATTTTTCTTAATTTCCTTCCCAATCTAAAATTTGTTTGCATCCCCTAAAATACTTAATTTAGTTGCTCTCTCCTGTCGATGTAATATCAAGAGTTYACTATTTATTTTTTATTGTTTTATTATAGTAAGACGAGAGATTAAACTATCGATTTTTAAAATTATATTAAAGTGTCTTGTTCTTTTGAACTATGCTTTGACACAATAATCGATCACTCATGGTTTTGAATGTGAGAGAAATTATTTTTCTTAAGGTTTTTTTTTTATTTTTTATTTTTAACTAATACCAACTCCGAAATATTTAATATTTTATTGTTTAAAAGTGACAGTAACTCGAAATAATTGGTCAAAAACATGAAAATGGATGCAATATTTAGACTTTCTAGGCCACAACTAGCACGACATGTTTGAAATTGTGCACCAACATAGGTCCTATAATGAGTGTGTCACATAAAAACATGATCATGTGCAACTTCACTCAAAGTTTTAATTGCTTCAAGAGAAATAATAATAAGACAACCTTTGTTTCATATGGTCCACTACCCATTGTGTAAGAGTGGGGCTTACAACAAATTGTGAAAGTTTATTAATGCACTCATTAAAATTTGACTCTTTGTTTAGGTGCACAAATATTTTTTACACTCGTGTTTATGTCAAATGAGGAAGTCGAATAGTTTCATAGGAAAGAAAAAATTTGTTGCCACAATTTATACGAATTACTTTATTTTGTACAACTTATTCACTTTTTTTTTGTTTCGGTATATATTTGTACTAAATCAACCCATATGTGTCTGATAGACGTACAATGTCATTAATTTAAGGTTCATTTTGATAACGTTTCTATTTCTTCTTTTCTAATGAAGAAAAACAGAATAGGATGACTTCCAACACCCACGATTCAAAAATGATAGAACAATATTTTTATTTATGTTTTGAAACAAATTGGAAACGGGAACAATAGACAATTAACTTGTTTTTGTTGTTTCCAAAATTTATATACAAATTTGAGAACTTTTCTACGAGAAATGAGAAAGAAAGAAACATAAATAGTTGTCAAATGGTTTTTAAGTTTCTTAATAATATTAGAATCAAGAAACGAGAATGTCACCAAAAAAGAAAAAAACGGACCCTTAGTAAATGATGTAAGAGTGAGATTGAATAGAATCACTGAAAGTTTTTAAAGTTTAGGGTGAAATAAACGTAATCATCAAAATTGAGAAACAAATTAATAATTTAACCTATATGGTTAACAAATGGCTAAGAGGATCGAGTTGTTGACTTTATTAAAAATTCAAAACTTGGTTTATTATTGAAATTGACTTCCTAGGAATTATGATAACAATTGTTAAGAACTTGATGGGATGATCTGTATTTATACAGCAATATCAAAGTAGATGAATTCAAATCTTTGCAATATTGTTTTGTTTTCTTTTCATTCATTATTAGTCCACATATAACTTTGTTTTTTTACCTTTTACCTTTGTTTTGTTTCAAATCTAAGAGTGATATTAATAATTTATTTAGGATAATTTGAACTTATTAAGGAAAGAAAATAAATGAGTATGACTTTTTACAAAGCCTATACGTACGTGAAGTCACTTGTTTAAAATATAATTTAAATATGAAGTTATTAAAATGAAGAATTTTACCTATTTCTCCTTTACTAAATTAAGGGATAAGTCCTCATCACTGATTAAAAATAATAATAAAATAAATAAATAAACAAAGGGATAATTTCTTATATAGTAAAAAATCTATCATATTATCTTCCAAAAAAGATAACAAAAAGTCTTGTCATATTCTTAATCCTTTGAATTAAGTTCCAAACCACCAATAATACCCAAAGCGTGTTGCTCTTAAATCACCTTACAAGCAAACAAAAAACAGCTACACGTTGCGGAACTAATTTGTTGTGTGAAATTTAGGTTGGAATTCTATATATATATATATTTTAAACATATTTTAATTCATAAACTATCAAATCTATTTTATTGGTGAGTGTCTGGGACAACTTTCACAAACACCTCGACTAATGTCATGGGACAATCATATGACCCTACTGCATTTAGTTGTCCAAGAAAAACATTAAAATATTAAATTTTAGATAGGTGGTTACCATGGAATTTGAACCCATGATAATTGTCTGCATGAGTATAACTAAGTGGTAAAATATCTACTTCTCTTATGATTAAAATCCCCCATCCTACCATTGTTGAGGAAAAAATTATGATTTACAGTTTCTGTCTTAGAAATAAAATGATTTTGTATTAAGTGATTGAATATGAATATAATAATTTATTTTAAAGCGTAAAAACTAAAATACCATAAATAGATGCTACATAACATACAAATATTTAAACTTAAAATTTTATTAAAAGAATTAAAATAACGAAAATAATTTTTAATTTTAATTTTAGAATTAAATAAAGTATTTGAATAAAATTGGTGGATTTCTAGTGTGAGATAAGAGATAATTTATGAACTATTAGTTAGATTTAACTAAATCAAATGAGTTAAACCAAACAAAGTCTAAAAGTACATGAAACAAAACTTAATTATATGGACTAAATTAAAAATATATCAAATGACCTAACTTATAATATGAATGTGGAGTAACTAAATAAAATTTAAATCGTGAAAAGAAAACTCCCAAAAATAAAATAAAAAAGTGTAGAGGCATGAATTGACGATTAAAAAATTGAGTAAAAATGTGCCCTAATCTAATGATAAGTGATAACAACTATAAATTCATACCCTCGGTATTCGGCAAGGTGTCGCTCGCGCTTCATAGACCGTAGTCGAAGAATTTTTATTTAAAATTAAAACTAAACACTTATTATTGATCTGTTTCTCTTTCTTCTTCAATTTTCTATCTCTGCAATTTTCATTCGTCTCTTTCCCGCTTTAGCCATCGTCGGAAAGATCTGCGTGAAAAATTGAACGGCGCGTGTCTATTTTCCAAAAATTTCCTCCCGTTTTCCCCGTGATTCCATCTGTCAAGCAATCTTAGAAAGGGATTCTTCACCGGTTAGCTTCCTTTTTCAATTAACTTCCGCTATTTCTCGTTTTCGAAATTCATGACGTCGTCATCGTTCGCGAACTTTCTAGCTGATTATTAACTTCAGCGAGCGAGTTCGCCTTTTTTTTCCTCCTTTCTCCTCCCTATCGAAGATGTAGATCTTCAAACGTTAACGAATTCGACCAAATTATGCAGGGAGCGCGTGCGGCGATCGCGTGTTCAGCAGGCGCACCGTTGACGGCGGCGATTGAATTGTATTGTGTCTGTTTTATGTGTTGAGGGGAAGAGAGGATGGCCGGAATCGGCGGAAGAGATGAGGACGGAAGAAACCGCCGGCCGGATTCCGATGAGGATCAGGATTTCAAGATGGAGAGCGTCCGCGAGCGGATCATTTCGTCGCGAACGAGCCGATTCAATCTGATTCAGAAACAGTTGAGGCTCGAGTCGAATCGCAGAAGATTTAGCCGCGAAAACCTCATCAATGGCATCAAGTGCCTCGTTATCCGCCCTGACAGCAGGTACGCTTCGTCTCCAACCTCATTCCAAATTTTAATTTTAAAGATTATGAAACGTCGCGCTTGCGTCTGAACGCGACTCGTCAACAATTACAATTCAGAATCCGTACTCCATAAATTAATCGCCATCCAAAAACCACTCCCACCTTCTAATTATTTTGATTTCAGTTATTTTAGTAAATTGCAACTACTATTCATATATATGCAACTTACAAGTAAATGTGGACTTTCGTTCATTTAAATTTTTTAGTTTTTAAAAGGTTATTTTTATTCTATTTTGGCCTAATCAAACTTAGTTCAACGGATTAAGATCTCAATCTCTAACCAATAAAAAAGTTGTGAGTTACAATTTCTATGCCATATGTTGACTATATTTTTTTCACTTCATTATTTTTATTTCATTTTTTCTTATCTTAATATATTTCCTTTCCTAAATTTATTAAGATGTGGGTATATAATCTGTGTTGAAATTTTGAATATAAGAATCAAATTGGTCCCATTTAAAAAGACGGACGAAAATAGTCTTTTCAAAAAAATAACAAGACTAAAACAAACAAAAATAATTAAAAATACAGAAACTAGTTTTATTATAGTCGCACACACTTGGCGTAGCTGGAGGGTGAAATTTGTGTGGCCAAGCTCTCTTTGGCAAGACTTGGAAGTTGGAAGGGATAGGGAAAAAGGATAATTGAGAGATTTGCAGATTGATTAGATAGGTTTTGTTTTGACATTTAAATCGTAATTTAATAGACATGGGGATAGGGCGGGGGCCGGGGTGAGGGAGGGAACCATTTTGGTCACATAAAAAAATATATATATATGTGTGTGTGTGTGTGGTGGTTGTCATTTTGTCACAGCTCACATGTCTTAGCTGCCACTTTGACAGGTTTTAGGAGTAATTTTTTGAATCATCTTTCAAATGTTTTGTGCTTTGGCGTATTGGGTATTTAGTAAAAATATATATATGTAATGTGGAAGTTTTCAAAGATGATCAAAATGATGGGGCCTCTTCTGATCTCATAGTGGGTCTGGGAAATAGTGACTATGTTACTTTATTTATGGGTTACTTGTAGATCTGGCCAAATTTGTTTTTCTTTTTTTCTTTTTTTCAGATTTTATATATGAAATTTGAGATATGATAAATGTGTTTTCAAATATGGGTATTTTGAATTGAGGTTTTCAAGCTTTTGTTTTAAGAGTTCTGAAAAAATAAAATTTGAAAAAGTTATATTTTAATTTTCTGAGGAACATTTGACGTGATGTTTTGTTTTTTAGTAGAAATTCTAGCTGACTGGATAATTTGCAAAACAAAAGACTCGAACAATTTTCATTTTAAGACACTCCTAAATCATTTAACAAAGAAATAAGTTAGAAATTTGAAGAAAAAAAATATTAAAAATCTGAGACCGATTTTACTGGATAATAAGTATAAAGGTCTAACTTTGGACTTGTGACTATCCTGTCCATGATTTTTGAAAATTATAAATCTCTCTCTTAACTTACTAAAAGACAAATTGATTCCACTCTGATTCTTCCCCTTTTGTGCTTGTTAATGTACTTTTTCCTTTTTGTCGCTCTCTTTCAAAGATTTTGGCCATATTTTCCTTGGGTTTCTGTGTCTTTTTCCCTTTTAGGGCAATTGAGTATGATCTTGTATAAACAATACAAATTGAGTAAACAGTGATCGCTGTCGAATGGTCAACTTATATTATGGGCTGTTTATTGCTCATATCATAATGGGTAGTTGGCTAACTTTTGGGTAAGATTGCCACGTTAATACAAGATAGTGGAATTTATCGCAATTAGAAGACAACATTAGGTCAGAGAGTTGGATCATGGGCGGGCAGAACCTTCTGGATCTGACCCAATCTTAAAGGACCACGTACATTTTAATCCAATCTTTTAGTGCATTTTAGTTTAATTTCAACTTTTATTTATTTTAGTCTATATTATCCAACGTACATTTTTTATCTATATACGTTTAAAAAGTTACTTCTCTTTATCGTAATTTTAGCATGGTACTCTATCTACTAAATTTTTTGAAATGTAATTATAAATTTTTATTTTATATCTTTTTTTTTTGAAATTTTGTAAGAATTGATCAAATTGGTCATCTTTTTAAAATATGGAGACTGAAATAGATACTTTAAAAAGTGCAAATATTAAAATGAATTAAAAATTAAATGGATAAGAACCAAAATGAATTTTTAAAAAATAATATTTTAACTTAAAAATTTATAAAAAAAAAATTTAGTTCAACCATTTCACGGGTAGGAATCAAACTATCATATATACATAGGTACTTTAACCGACTGAATTTGGCAAAGGTTAATATCAACGACAAGGTGTTTTTGTTTTTTTAAAGGAAAAAATGTATTAAATTAAGTAGAAGAGGAAAGTGCCACGTGGGCTACAGGTCGAAGGTAATCTCCCTTTACTAAATTTAACGTCCAAGAGGGGAAATTATCTTGCAAAAAGATTGAAGAAGTACGGGGGAGGGCAAGTTTGGCCAGATAATCTGCGGGTTTGTTGCGCTCGCGAGGGATATGATGGAATGAATAAGCAGAAAAATTTGATGAGGCGAATTAGTTATATGCAATTTCCATATTTTTCATATCATTTTGTTTCATAATATAATTTGATGACTAATTAGGTTTACATATTACTTCAACTTACCTTTATTTAACATTGACATTACACCTTACGGATCTCCTTAATTTTCATCAAGTGAAATTTCATTAATTTTCACCAAAAAGAAAAACATATATAATTTAGTTAGTATGAAAATGATTTTCACAGAACGTAGATTTTTTCAAACTAATCTCACATATCAGTTTTTAAGTCAATTAGTTACAAATATAATTGGATTGTGTCGAGTCTATGGAAATTTAAGTTCATAAAATAATGCAATCCAAATGAAGGGGTACGAAAGAGAACAGCGGATAGAAATCTTTCTCGTCAGAATCACATGAGATGAAAATTAGGGCGAAAAAGAAAGAACCCAAGAATGCCCAAATAATGTCAAGGGCATCCAAATTGTTGAGCATGATGAGTAAGAATTCTAAGGAAACACACCCACCCCTAAATGAAGTCCATTTTTTTCCAACATGGGTTATATTCGAACTCTCAACTTTGACCAGTTGAAATACTCCGTTGGGCATTTGTTCATTTCATAAGAGTGCATGAACAAGTTTTACATAATATAGCAAATCAAATGCAGGTGGTACAGGGCGTGGACGAAGTTCATACTGATATGGGCAATCTACTCATCCTTCTTCACTCCCATGGAATTCGGGTTCTTCAGGGGATTACCCGAGAATCTATTTATACTCGACATTGTGGGACAACTTGCTTTCCTCCTCGACATTGTTTTCCACTTCTTTCTTGCCTACCGAGACAGTCAGACTTACCGAATGGTCTACAAGCGCACCCCAATAGTCCTCAGGTCACTCTGAATGTTGAGCTTATGTGCAGATTTGGGGGGTATTGGTAGTTCTGCTGTTCATGATTTCGTCTTATATGTTCTGTTTTTGTGTTTTTCAGGTACTTGAAATCCACTTTTGTGACTGATTTGCTCAGCTGTATGCCCTGGGATATCATTTACAAGGTGACACTCTATGGAACCATTGTTTTAGAAGCAACCCATGACATTTTGTAATTAGGGGTCTTGTTTTCCATTGATTTTAAGGTTCTGTTTTGACACATTGTTTTATTGACAGATTGTTCTGTGCTGAGTTTTCCAGTGCAGGCTTTATAATCTCTCTGGGACTGCTGTTTTTAACAATTTTCTACATCTGTGTTGGAACAGGCTTGTGGGAGAAGAGAGGAGGTGAGATACCTCCTATGGATAAGGCTATTTCGGGTGCGGAAAGTCACTGATTTTTTTCAGACGTTGGAGAAGGATATACGTATAAATTATATGTTCACTAGAATTGTCAAGCTCCTTGTTGTTGAACTTTACTGCACACACACTGCAGCCTGCATCTTTTACTACTTAGCAACTACTCTTCCTCCTTCTGAAGAAGGGTACACGTGGATCGGAAGCTTAAAACTAGGGGACTACAGTTACTCAGATTTCAGAGATATCGATTTATGGAAACGCTACACCACATCTTTGTATTTTGCCATTGTCACCATGGCCACTGTTGGTAAGTGCCTTCTTAACACCTTCGATGACAACTTTTGAACCAATCAAATGGGGATGCAAGAACTAAATTATAGGCCCGGATAATTATTTTATTTTCTGTTTTCTACTTTTGAAAGTTAGCTCTGTAAATACTACTAAAACTGAAATGGTAATCAAATGTAAGCATATGACGTTCTTTTCCCTTTGCATTTTTGCTCGGGAGGAGTACTTACTTTTGGGAATATTAAAATAGCCTCTACTTGTTGGTCATTTACTGGCATTTGGAAGTAAAATTCTACACATTGCTGTTCAGTTGAGTTTCCTTAATCCTAAATTGTTTTTTATGAACAGGTTATGGAGATATACATGCAGTCAACTTGAGGGAAATGATATTCGTGATGATTTATGTGTCACTTGACATGGTTCTCGGTGCTTATTTGATCGGTAACATGACTGCATTGATCGTTAAAGGATCTAAGACAGTGAAATTCAGGGATAAAATGGCAGATGTAATGAAGTACATGAACAGAAATAGACTTAGCAGGGATATCCGTGATCAGATCAAAGGTCACTTACGTTTACAGTATGAAAGTAGTTACACTGAGGCTTCTGTTCTTCGGGACATCCCGATATCAATCCGTTCTAAGGTAAACACAAATATTCAATTTTACATAATTTAATTAACATAATAGTTAGCATGATGATAGGAAACAATCTGTTTATTGAAGCAATGGCATTAGGAAACACTTGGCTTTCTATTCACCTTCTTTCTCTTATCTTTGATTTGGGATGAGGCAGAAGTAGTAGGAGTTTCAGGGTTTTGGGTGAGGAGAGAGTGATGTTTTGGCTCTCTGTTCTTTCTCACTTTCATAAGGAAGTATGTTCTTTCTTCAGTGCATAAATGTGCTTAGATTGCTAGCTTGACAAAATTTCACTTTATGCAGATTTCCCAAACATTATACTTGCCTTATATTGAGAATGTTCCTCTCTTTAAAGGATGCTCTCCAGAGTTCATCAATCAAATAGTAAGCATTTTGTTTTTCTAGTCTGTAGTAGTGATCATATTTTTTGAAGAAGGTGTTTTTTATGTGGTTTGTCATTGTAGGTTATTAGACTCCATGAAGAGTTTTTTCTCCCTGGAGAGGTGATAATGGAGCAAGGAAACGTAGTTGATCAACTTTATTTTGTCTGTCATGGTGCGCTGGTATGAGTCCACTGATCATGTTATCTGTTTCCAATAATTTATTTTGCCGTTACCAATTCTTTTACATAATTTGTGTTTTCTTTATAAATTTTTAGGTCTTGATGTCCTCTTTTATCCAAAGTTTAGGATCATCAAGGAAAGAAATTTGATGAATCTTGGCATCTTTTCTACCTTAAATACTCTATTTTTAATAGTTTTTCTCGTACATTGTTCTAGCCACATGTCCTTTTGTTTTGTCTTTAGAATAACCCAAAAATATTGTTGACCGTAACGTTAACAAGAAACTGCTAAAATCCTTAATCAGATAACCATATTTCTGCAGGAGGAAGTGGGCATAGGACAAGATGGTTCAGAAGATATCGTATCTTTACTGCAGCCCAACAGCTCTTTTGGACAGATTTCAATTCTTTGCAATATTCCTCAACCTTATACAGTTCGAGTATGTGAACTGTGCAGGCTCTTGCGCCTTGATAAGCAGTCGTTTACAAATATCCTTGACATATACTTTTACGACGGGAGGAAAATCTTGAACAACCTTCTACAGGTAACATAATTCACTGGTATATCTTGATTTTTAAGTTGCTGGATTATTTTTCACAGACCTATAGTTTTGAGATGCATTTCATTTCTTAATAAACTTTAAGAACTTCAGTTAAAGTTCTTTATCAAAAAAAAAAAAAAAAAGGACTTTTGTTACAATTTTCAAATATTAGTTTGGTTAGGTTTAAAACTTAGCAACAGTGGTTGACTTAAAGTTTCAAAAATTAGTCAAGCATGGTAAAAGGAATATAATAATGATTATAAATTTTGTAATTTATACTAAACTTGAATATTGTTTCGATTGGTTAAGGCATTTATACTCCATCAAATTATTTGCACTCTTTTATGATAATGTCTTTTTTTATTATTTTGTTATTAACATTACAAATATGAAGTAGAAATTGGAACCTTTGATTTAGAGGAATGTAACTATTAACTACTCTTTTTAGTTTAACAAAGAGTGGATGATTCAAATTTTCAATTTCGAGCGAGATAAATAATATTTTAACTAAATGAGCTATACTCATATCGACAATATTATGTATCATTAGCATAACTTAAGGTCAACTAGATTGAAGAGTATAAATAGGTGGGGTTATACATGTAAATTTAACAATAATTTATATCATATTATGTATGGTGTCAAATTTGGGCATAATTTGTCGATCTAAGCATAGCTCAACTGGTTGAAGTATCATACATCTCCAACAAAAAAAATAGTGAGTTTGAATCTCTAATCTCATCCAATTCAATTGATTAAGATATTAATCTCAAATGGTTAAATATATTAGGTTTGTATCTCCCTAATGGATTTAAATGGAATATGGAAAAAAGAAAAAAGAAAAAAAGGCCCATAAATATGGCCCATAAGTTCAATGAAAAGAGCCCAAAAGATTGAAAGTGGATGGGCTTCCTCTTAACTATACACTTCAATGGCCCAAATGAACCCAACCCATTTTCTTGATTCAAGCTTAAAGGTTATAACAAAATAGAAAAGTTTGGTCAAATCTCAATGTGTTAAAACTATGCCTTTTGTTGCAAGAGTGGAAGATTCAACATTCATTTTTAAGGAAGGTAATAGGTGTAGCTATCGAAGCCGCAACATCGTGTCTATTCAATCCCTAAACGTTAATAAATTTTATTTAGATCTCAAAACTTTAATACTTCTATTTAGTTTCGTTGTTAATATCATTAATAAAACATCGACATAACTTGTTAGTTAAATTTTGGGTTGTGATGTGACAGTGGCAAACAGCTAACCTACGGAAGCTAAAACATAGGAACAGCATGTGTGTTTGAGGTCTGAAATATTTGATACTTTTTTTTTAATACACAACAGGTGGAGTATTGGACTCAAACCAGAACTCACACCCTCTTGGTTTGAGTCAATTAATTCTCACCTGTGTTCATTTGAATTGAAACTTTTGATAATTGACTGTGAGTGAGGAAAGTGCATTTTGGAGGAAGCCCCTCATTCGCCGCATCTGCAAAACTAAGAAATACANAAGTTTGTCTATAATACAGCTTATGGATTCCATACTTGTAGGGTAAAGACTCCGACCTTGGAATTAAGCAATTGGAGTCGGATATCACATTTCATATTGGTAAGCAAGAAGCTGAACTTGCTCTCAAGGTGAACAGTGCAGCATATCATGGAGATATGTACCAATTAAAAGGTCTCGTCCGAGTGGGAGCTGATCCAAACAAGACGGATTATGATGGAAGGTCGCCTTTGGTATGGAGTAGAATCTTTGACTTTTCAGATTCTTCCTAGATACTTGTCTCATAGATTTAATACTAGGATTATTGGATTTATTATCTTAGGTAAGGGCACCTGGGATTTGAACTCTTGCTCTAAAGTCTCAAAGTCCCTTCTCCAAACTCCGTTGCTGTTAGGCCAATTTATGGTGGTTAATGATTGTATATCTTTTTAATGCCTCCTTACCTCACCGAGGTCTATCGTATGCTTAAATTTTCATTTTGTCCTCAAGATGGAAACAAGGAATTGTAGTTGGCCCAAGTCAAACAACACTTCACTGAACTTAGCTACTGAAACTGCTCTTACTATTAACAGCCTGCTTGTCTATCCTTTTTAGACGATAAGTACTTTGGCTAAACGATTGGTCGTTTTTCCACAGCATCTTGCAGCAGCCAGAGGATTCGATGATATAGTTCTTTTCTTAATTCAGGAAGGAGTAAACATTGACCTCAAAGGTCAGTAGAATACAAGTTCTTGAGGTTTCCCCTTCTCTTTTACCTTAGTAATGTTGAGTTATGATATTTGCTCTGGCTTTCTCCCAGATAATTTTGGAAATACACCATTAATGGAAGCCATCAAGAACGGGAACGATCAAGTTGCTGCTTCGCTCGCTAAACAAGGTGCCTCATTGAAGGTTGAGAATCCTGGTAGCTTCCTCTGCACAGCTGTTGCTAGGGGTGATTCAGATCTTCTTAAGAGATCATTGTGCTATGGCATTGACCCCAACTCCAAAGATTACGATTCCCGAACTCCACTTCATATAGCTGCCTCAGAAGGGCTACATTTGATGGCAAAGTTGCTAATAGAATTTGGAGCTAATGTTTTCTCAAAGGACAGGTAAGCATAAATACATTGTGGTTCAATAATGTGGCCTGCTTGTACAGCCCTATTCAAAGCTTTTGGGAAATCACTTCACTATTCTATAATATTCTGTTGCTGCTTCTATAAAAGTATCTCTTCTTAATACAAAATGGAGTTGTTTTTATGGTCTCTTCTTACTAGAAAAGCACTTCCACTAAGAAACAAAGAGTACATGTTCATTCTGTTTCCATATTGTATCAACTATTTTATCATCTCAGTGGTAATTTCATTACTGCAGATGGGGAAACACTCCCCTTGATGAAGGCCGAATTAGTGGAAACAAGAATTTGATCAAGCTCTTGGAAGAGGCAAAAGCTACTCAGTTGTCAGAATCTCCTTATTCCCCTCGAGAATTCACAGGTATTAATCAGACAAACCTATCCTGTTCTCCACTTCTATTTTATGCAAAAGTCAATGGCGAATTGAGCTTCATTTTACAATTTCTCAAGAATTCAAAGTGGCAAATGATGAGCATAAGCTAAACTTTCTGAGCTAATTTTAATCTGATTGGTCAAACGAGTGAATGAAGTAAAAATCCTCTTATTTGGTATGTTGAGTATTACTTCTTCATTTAGCTCAACACAAGACTGAACTTAGGCGAAGAAGCCAACCCAATTTACATCCTCTTTCCCTGGCAAAAACTGCAGAAATATTCAAGTTCTTTGTTCCCTAACAAGATTCTTAGAACATTTGGTCCAATTTGAACTTTGATTGATTCTCAATGACAAAGGAGGAACTTCTAAAAAGAACACTTGTTATTTTTACAGACAAAAAACACTCAAAGAAATGTACAGTGTTCCCCTTCCACCCATGGGATTCCGAAGAACACAGAAAACCTGGAATTGTGCTATGGGTTCCACACACTATTGAAGAGCTCATCAAAGAATCATCAGAGCAGCTACAAGTTTCAAGTAAATGTTGTATATTATCAGAAGATGGAGGTAAAATTCTTGATGTCCATATGATTGATGAATCTCAAAAATTGTATCTAGTTGCTGAAACTCATTAAATGGGCGATTGGCTATTGTAGTGTGCAAAGAATAAATTTTTGGTTGGCATTCTTCACCTTTGGCAGTGTTGCGAAACACCAAATGAGTGTAAATATAATGTTGATAAGTCAAAAAAAATATAATTTTAATGGAGTTCTCTCTCTCTTTGCTTGGCCACCACGCCAATTTTCAATTTCATGTCGCTGTCTGTCACACGTACGATGAAGTATGCATAAAATCGACCGCATTCATATGAATTAAAAGATCCATTTCATATTACTACCAAGAAGGAAAAAAAAATCATACTTTCCCAATAAGAATTTCCCTTGACATCTAATAAAAAACCCTAATCAAAACTTAATAACCAAAAGTAGAACTTTTAGTTGTAATAAATACCTCCAGAAAGGACGCGTCGTTCTATTTTGCTTAGCGACCAAGTTAGTAGAAGGCGAAGCTTTAATTCCAGTAACCGCGTACGACAAGTCGGCAAAGTTCGTTATCAAAATCCGACATTACCGTAACGTCGTCTTCATCATCTTCTTCTTTCTTCTCCTTCAAGTAGTTGCAATTTCTCCCCTCCTATAAATCTCCCTGCTCCCGCCCCCGCCTTCTCACTATCTCGCCCCAACCAACCAATCGATACTCTGCAGAAGGAGAAACCTCGCCGGCGACGCCATGTTCCACGCTTTCGCTGAAGCATACGTGATGAGGAAAATGAGCAAGGAGAAATTGAAGAAGATGAAGGAGAAGGAAGAAAAGGAGAAGACGAGGAAGAGCGGTTCGAGCACTTACGGATCAGTGAAACGATCCAACGGCTCCTCCTCCTGGATTTCCAGGAAATTGAAAATCCATCCAAGCTAGGCTCCGGTGAACGGACTGAAGCGATCTGAAATGGTGAATAGTCGATCAATTGTATGCTGTTTACGAATCTCTCCGCAATTTCTATGGCGTTAATTGTTGATTTTGTGTAATTGCATAGTGAACAAAAATTGAGCGCTTCTGATTGAAGCGTTTGTATAGTGTATGATTATTTTGATTCAAGCATCTACAGTGGCTTGTTCTGATAATTTCAGATTCTTGAACTGTTTCAATTGATAGTGCCCTACTTTTACAGATTGAAAAAGCAGGAGCGGTGTGGTTTGATTTCATCCCCCAATTCTTTGCCAGTCTTTTCAAAAATTGAGGGGGAAAACGAAGTTTAAATTTATCTGAGTTGGCATTACAGAAGTCATACCAACCATATAAGTATTAATATTAGTTAAATATATATATCTTTATTTTAAAAAATAACAATATTTCGGTGGGAGAGAGACATTTATAAAAATGAAGCGGACAAAAGTCGAAGTACTAGAATACCCTACTCCCTTTTGTTTACATGAAAAGATATATAGAGTGCTCGTACGCCGGCTATGAACGGGGTTAAGCAATCTACCGAAGTTGAGTCGTGAATGGAAGGGAATATAGTATTTTTGTAGTACCATAAATGTTTTTAATTTTGAGTGGTAGTTACTCGTAGAGATTAAAATTGACGTTTTAAAATAAACCAAACTAGAAGAGACTTAAAAATTTATGTGCCTAAAAAGTTATTACACACCACAGTAGAATAAATTTGAAAGTTGAAAGAAATAAATAAAAAATTTAAACCTTATTCATTGCAGTTTTTTTTTTTTTTACATATTGAGGTGAGAGATCTCTCACAACCTCTTAATTTGAGATATATGTGAATTACCATACTGAACTATACTCATTTTGGCTATTCGTTACAATTTCGGTGTTTATAATTGAAAATTTTTAATTAATCATGAACTATTGGGTCACGTTGATCAGGAGGACAAAGTCAATGATGTTATATAGTATTGGACAATTTATCATAGATGACCGTTTGATGATTTGACATTTTCTTTCTTTAAGGCTAATTTATTTTTTTAATACAATAATTTAAGAATACGGGATCGAACCTCCAACCTTGAAGGAAATAGTACATACCAATTACGGTTAAACTATGTTCTTGGCTTTCGTTAGGACTAATGTATTTTTTTACATATGTTTATATTTTTCTGAAAAGTGCTTCTAATAACTAATTGTTTAGTTGTACTATGTTCAAAAGTGATTCTAATCCTAACAAGTATGATTTTTTTTCCGTCATGAGTGATTTGATCATCATTTCAAAGTTATTTTTTTTGGATAATTGCTTCTCAAATCATTTCTAAATCAATCTATTTGTTTAAAAATACTTTGATTTATCGAACACCCTAGAATTTTTTTTTTTTTTTTGTAAAGTTCTTATAGTAATCTAAATTTAGTATAATCATACTTTAAAGCAAAATTATTTTTAAATAACCATTAAAGGACGTGGACTTTAGGAGATAAAGTGAATGCCTCTTTTGTAAGAAAAACCTTGGTTTGGTAAGATGAGACAATAATAAAAGTTTGTTAGTTTTATTGTATCTAATCTTTTTTTCTTTTTTTTTTCTTTTTCTAAAAAGTAAACTAATTAACGTGAATGGAAAGTTTTATTAGGAAAATTGGTAGAAGTAGGCTCCATCTGCTTTTCTGCCCACCAAATAAAAAAGGAATAATTATAATGTAGACTTTCTCAAATTCATCCATCAAAATTAATATATACAAACTGCGATCATAAATTACCAATTTAGCATTGTGTATATTTAGTTTAAAACGTTCTGATTACATCATTATTATTATTTTCTTTTAGGAAAAAGGTTCGACCAATTTTAATTTTAATCTTTTAATTTCGTCAGTTTAAACTGCATTGGTAAGCTTTATTATTTTTTTTCCAGTAAAAGTGAAATTTAACCAATGAGTGGTGCAATTAATTAGTTAAGTTTTTCTTTTCTTTTTTTAAGATCTTGCGACTAGTTATAGAATGATTGTCTCTATATAGTTGGATGAAACTTTTTACACTCATGGGTGATTCAAATGGTGTCGAATGCTTTTTACTAATAAGTTTGTTGGTTGTTAAACTATTTGACATGATTGTGAGAAATTTGGCCTTTTGGAATTCCGCCAAGTACCAATCCTTTAGAATAAAAGGCATCGACGAGACCTGCATAACAGAAGAGCACTAAAAACCGCTGTAGTTCTTACTACACAAGCTCCGATGCTTAAGTAGTAGTCCAGTATGAAGAGTATGATATTTTTAGCATAGCAAATAGTAGGGATGTGTAGCGTACCCTTAGGGTTTGGTTCATCCTCTTATTTATAGAAGTTGAATCCTAACCAAGAATTATCTAACTTGAATCATAATCATTTTAGGATATATATAAGTCAAATCCTAGTGTACTCAAGAGATCTGGACTCCTGACCCATGTGTTTCGTCGAGAGCCTAACATTGGATCGAGGGTTGAGATAGGACAAGTTCGGATCGGGCTGCACAAAAACAATGAGAACCAAAGGAGGGTTCTCGACCATTGGTTGAGGCCTCGTCCCAGGTTTCGATGCTTACCTGGTTCGTCTGTTTTTGTCACTTGATCTGTTCTTCTTTTATCTTCCCGTAACATTATTTGAAATGACTGTGAGTTATTCTTAGTTAAATTTTATATAATCTATTGGTTCGCATCTGATAAATATCAAATTTAGTTTAACAAGGTATTAATTGTAACATTTTAACATTTATTCAAGTTTAGTATTCAAATTTTTTTCAAATACAACAACATATAAAAGTGTAGATTTGAACCAATGACCTTTGATTCAAATATTAAGTTTGTTAACTCGAGTCTAATTCAATTAATTAAAAAATTTATATCCGATAAAAAATATTGGAGTTCGAATTCTTTCCTACCTATTAAATTCCAAAGGAAAATTGTCTTTTAAAAAAGGAATATATATATGTATATAAAGCYGAGCTACATGTATAATAAATGCAACGATGTAACGTGATACAATCTGCGTCATGGACACGCGCAGACTGCACGTGATATCACGTGAGAAATAAGATTTTTCCGATTCTTTTCCCGAAAAGGAGAAATAAGAAATTGAGTTATTGTTATTATTATTAATTAATTAGAAAATGGAAACGACATCGCATCGGGCATGTGCAGGTGAGCCCCATTTTGGTGCACGCTTGGCCACCGCAATGAATGATACCAAAACTCTGCACTCCGCTCCTTCTCCTTGGCTGCATTCAATTGTCCACTTTCTTCTTACCAACCAACTCCATATCAAAATTTCTTTCCAATTTTATCTCCCAATTCTTAACTATGTTTAGATTGTCATTTTGTGTCTCAGTTCTAATATAAAGTGTTTTTGAAATTTCATTTATGCGCACCTTTTATTTAATGTTACAAAAATTTAAGTATTTTAGAGCCTGTTCTGTTTTGTAATATTACCGTCTTGTTCTTTATTTTCAATTTTATTAAAACATCTAATTACTTGATAAACTATAAAATTTTTGGAAACAATACAATCTTGTTTCTGGTTCCTGGTTCCTGTTTCTAATTTATTCCAATATAAATAAATCTTTTGTTTTATCATTCATGAATGGGTGTTTAGGTTACGTAATTCTATTATTCTTTATTATAAAATAGGAAACATAAATAAGATCAATAGTATTCGTATTGATCTTAATTATTTAATTATTTTTGATAGGGCCTATTTTGATCTTAATTTGTTTTATAACGGAAATTTATTTTAATTTTGCAAAGGATCTGACTTTCACTTGGGCCAGGGATTCATATTTTAGATACCATAAATGGATGAATTTATGATCATACCAAAGGGGATAAAAGACTTTTATCAGAATGGAAAATGGTTGGGCATGGCCTCAAATTAGGCAAAATTATATATGTTGAAATATTCTGTACATTGTTTTTGTAACAATTTATTAATTATAAAGATTTATATTTAATTTTGGATGGTGGGATGCTTCCAAGCCTCATTTTCTGACTCAAAGATTTTTAACCATTTATTTTTTATAAGGGGTAAAATTGTAAACAAGCACTACAAATCTTGTTGAATTAAATCAAATACCTATGAAGTAAAAGTCAAAGTCAATAGATTCCAAACTACAAGCACGCTCAAAAGTTGTGAGCAACCGCGTTACCCTATTTTTAAGAATCGGTAACAAAACATGTACCTCTGGAATTTAGAATTAGATGATATTCTTAGAACCTTCAACAATTGTCATAGTTTCGAACATTTTGATCAATCAAAAACTTCAATTTTTTTTTTCTTAATTCAGTATTGAAAAATTTTCTTTGAAAATTGCAGATCATCTAAGAGAAGCCTCCTGAACTGTCTCCATTTTTAATAAAATGTTTAGCACTAATAATCATGATTGAGAAAAAAAAAAAAAGAGATCATGATGATGCTAAACCTTTTATAAAAATGTTTAGTACCAATAATCCAATCATCATATTTGAATAATATTTGAAATTTTTAGACGAGAGACAGAAAAATGGAGAAAATATGAAATTATATATATACGAAGAAAGAGGAAAAAAATTAAGAGAATTGATTTACAATGACTTAAAAAATGGGGAAGGGGGAGAATTTAGCAAAACTATGGGGCATGCCCGTAAAATATGGAAATTGAAGAGGGTGATTAAGGAAAAAAATAATTGGAGGACAGGCAATCACAGGCTTTTGGCGGGTTCCTGAAGTTGATTTGTGAGCTGAAAACTCAGCTCCATCTCACCTTATTAATGGCTTTTAAATCCATTTTTACATTCTTTTTACTGCTCATCTACGCCACCGTCGCCGCCGCCGTGATCCCTCCCTCCATTTTCCTTCTCCCACAATCCCGACCAACAAACACCAAGAGCCAACTCCAAGAGTAGGCTCACAAATTCCACATCTCCTCTCCTCCTCCGTTCATCTCTCTCTCTAGCCTTCTCTCTCCTCTGTCTGGGAGTTCCCCACCAAAGATTCCCTGTTCTTTCTTCCAACCGAAGCAGCTGCAGATCCGCAGCTGAGGCAAGGTACCCACTCCACTACATTTGATTACTTGCCCCAATTAATTTAGTATTCCCTAAATGTGCTGTAATTTTAATCGACCAGTTTTTGGTCCTATTTGCGTCAACTTTTACTGGCGTGGTGATATGATATCCCTGTTCTGTTTCACTTCTCTGCATTTGGCGTTTTCCCCACTCTGTTAATTTTCTAATAATTCGGTTTGGATTTTGTGACATCTGGGTCTTCGCTTTCGGGTGGGCTACTGACGTCTCATTGAAGAGAAATTATGTGTTTACTTTAGGCTTTTTCAAGTTTAAACTCATTCTCTTCTTACAAACAGTTCATTTTTTTTTTCCTTTTTTCCAGATTTAGATGGACAGATGATTTGGGATTCTGTTTTTCCCTCTGCAGTTGTCAGTCTTGTTGGTCTGGATTTCAGTGCACGAGCACCATTTTTTTGAATGAGGGAGTTTTCTGGATCACGGCTTTGTCCGTTTGCGAGGGTGGATTTTTCTTTAGCTCACTGCAGTTTCCACAGCCCGGATCCGGGGGTTTTCTGCTGGGCGTGTTGAATTTTGTTCGTCAAATTTGGCGTTTCTCGCAAGTTTGTCTCCTCCAAGAAGGTATGTTTTAGAATTGTCACTGTTTTTTCTGTAATCTTTTGCTGTTTCACCTTACCCCCTTGCTTTTATGGTGTTTTGTTTTTCTTATTGTCCCTTTTGAATTCTGGATTAACGGTCCAATCCTCCCGAACGGTATTGAACTCAAGACCTCCGGGGGAGCAATTGGATTTAGGGTGAACATTATTGTTTTGGAAAGAACATGTAATCTAAAACGCTTGAGCTGAGGCTCCAGCATTTCTATGTCTGCGTTTCTTGGTTCAGATGTTCTGTTTTCTTTTGTGTGGTTGTTTCTCTTAATCTAATAATGTTCAGTTTTCATCTTATTTCTTCCATTTCTTTTCCCAATGTTGGTTTGACCTTTTGATGTGATCTACAAACAGTCCGTGACTGTAGATTTGAATTTCCAGTTCAGGTATCTGGTTCTGACCGATGGAATTATTCACCGACGACTGTGGTTTTGTCTAATTTGGTTTTATAGTTTTTATCTAGCCATGTTTGGTTATGTACATTGGGATCATTAGGGATGGTAATTTTCATCAAATAAGTATTTCATTAGTATTGACTTGTTCTGTTGTTCAGCATTCTCTAATTTCTTGTGTGTCCTCTGCATGTACTTCCTATCTCTTGTTAAATGTATCTTCTTGTCGCAACTTTAATGTTTTCCGGGTTGGTTATTTTTATGTTATCGAGTTTGATTACCAAATACAAGCATATACTACTTCATCGTGGATCTCTCTCTCTTTCTCTCTTCATTATTTTCTCTGGTGAGAAAAGGGATTCATTTTCCTCTCATTGTGAGAAGGTTGCTATGAGAATGTATTCAAAGGGAAGGTCTAAGTTTCAATTTATAACTTAAGTTGTACCAGTCAACTCTATGAAATTTCACTTTTGCCTTCTGCTGTTTCTGCTTGACTGCTCAAGTTTTAGCTATATCTGACAAACCCCTTGATTTGATAGTGGTGATGGAAAACTAATTTATTGCATACATTATTTGGTACCTTAGGGGCTATTGAGAGCTTATCCAATGAGTTGTACTTCCTTCTCGTTGAATTTGAAATTTTCACTTTCCTTCTGCATGTTCGTTAACCGTTGCTCCTTGAGAGTGATTATTCAAGCCTTTTTAAGACATTGAGATTCTTCCTTCTGTATTAGGTTAATTCCAAAAAGCTATTTTTTAAGAGAACTATGAGATTACTTTCCTCACCAGTTAACAAAAAACCATACTTCTGGGTGGGATTTGACAACATAGACAATTTAGCTGTATTAAATTTTTGCATAATTGACATAATTACTTTTTTCTATTAATTTAGAAAGAATAAGACTGTATGCTGTTGCTGATACAAAATCTTGTGCAGTGGATGATTGCGATATTACATTGAAATGTCAAGGATTGCTAAGTGGAAGCTTGAGAAGACAAAAGTAAAGGTGGTCTTCAGGCTTCAATTCCATGCCACGCATGTAAGTTAACTTATCTCATTTCTAGATGCCGTCCATTTTTACTTTTCTCTCTTTTGTTTGTTCTTTCTGAAGCTGTCTCATTTTGAAACATGGTTCCAATGCTTTCTTTTCAAATATCATTTACATGTAACAACGAACACCAAACATATTTCACATGTATAGAAAAAGTATATAAAATGTAAAAGAACGAGGAAAAGGGAAACAACTTGTAATGGGTGCTTATTGCAAGGATGCCAATATTGGATTTCATGATGTCAACAATCTAATCTTCAAGAACTCGGTCCTTGTAGAGTGGGTATGACTAAGTGAAATTATGTTATATGGTAAGTATGATAAAGTCAAAAGATGTGTTTTTCCGGCCTGTGGTGATTGGTTAGATGAGTTATTATCACAGTTATATGGATAACTTCACTTATATTTAGATCTTGATATGTTGATATCTATCCGTTTGTTTATGCTGCCTCTCATGTATGAATGAAAGTTATGTTTGGGAGGGAAACAGGAAACCTAAAGGTGGATAAGGAAATGGGATGCTTCCCAAGTCTGGACCACCTTGTTTAGCAAATGGATTGCTGAAGTTCATGGCATTATTTGGTTTGAATGCCTGCATTTCTCGTATGAATGTATGATGCCCCACATCATTGAAGATTAAGCTCTTACGTTTGAATTCTTTTCCATTTCTTTTTCTTTCTTCATCGTCTGTTTTGAGTTGTCAGCAGATTCAATTGTAATACATTCTACCTCTTTACTTTGACACAAAATACTGCATATGAAATTTTATGCAACCAATCTTGTTATTTATGCAACGACGGACTCTTGATGTCTCCTGCACGATCCAGATTCCACAATTTGGATGGGACAAACTGTTTATATCTTTCATTCCTGCCGATTCTGGAAAGGCAACAGCAAAGACAACAAAAGCAAATGTGAGAAATGGAGCGTGCAAGTGGGCCGATCCTATCTATGAAACAGCCAGACTTCTCCAAGACACTAGAACGAAGAAATATGATGATAAGCTCTATAAACTTGTGGTGGCCATGGTAGTATTCCTATAAATTCTTCATCATTTTCTCTTTTCTCAATTTGTTTTGAACTTCCCAGCAATGTCTAAAACAATTGCTCTTACTTCTTTTTGGACCAAATCCCAACAATACTAGGGATCATCTCGTTCGAGCATTCTTGGGGAAGCTAACATCAATCTTGCTGACTATGCGGATGCATTGAAGCCTTCAGCTGTTGCACTGCCTCTTAATGGATGTGAAGCTGGAACTATTTTACATGTAAGAATTGGGAAGGCTTGTCATTCCTAACACATGACTCAAAGCTCTCACCAATTTTCTATCCATCCTTTTCTAATTTATAATTCATTGTAACATGTTGTTCAATCATATTCAATGGCAGGTTACCGTACAGCTGCTTACTTCTAAAACTGGTTTCAGGTGGGGTACTCATTAATCGAAACTTGCATACTCAGTCCTATTTTCATCTTGTTAACATGTATTTATCTTTCTTTTTAGGGAGTTTGAGCAGCAAAGGGAGCTTAGGGAGAGGGGGCTCCAAACATTCTCCGACCAAAATAGTCATGGTGAATCTCCTAGTGGAAAAGTGTCACTATCCGATGATAAGGTTTGTTTCCCCCCCAATTATGTTTTTCTGGAACTATAAAATCATGGCCTAAAGTTTTTTGTACTTATTATCTTCTAGGGTAATTACAAAAATATTTGTACTTGGGGCATTTTTCAAAGAGATCCTTATCCATGTTAAATCACTTGATAGGAAAATCACAACCCTAACTGAGGAAATGAAGAATGATGGAAAGACAACATTAATAAACTGAAAAAGGAGATGGCCAGGTTAGAAAGCAATTACACCATTAGTGCCCAACATTACATAAATACTTCAAAACAGTTAACCCTTGGAATGCCCGTCTCCCCACAAAGTGTAAAAAGGAGCTTACTAATGTCACATTGTAATGGTGATTCAGATATTTACACCAATATTTTAATGGTGGTGAAACACTCAAATGAAAGGTGATACGAAACTTATTGGCTATTTTTCATTATATTTCGTTTGTTGATCGTACATTAATATCAAAAAGATAGAAATTACATTAAGGGAATAATTTCAGGGAGGTCAAGTAACTTTTCTCATCTCCTATTGTTTTTGTATTCTTCTATTTATCAATGTATGATTAACATCCTTGTCTTCTTCTACTTGTCTTCTCTTTTGTAACTATAAAATCTTCTCCGTTTTAGCCAATTGGAAAATCTTTTTGTACACATTTTGTTTGGGCTTGCCCTTTTTTGTATATTTCGTTTCGGTGAAATAGTTCTGCTACTTATAAAAAAATTTCTCCATGTGCCTCCCATTCCACTCCCACCTTGGCTGAAATAGGTCAATGCAAGAATTAGGTCCAAAGAAGTACGTAAGGAACTCCCTTTACTTGACAATGAGGTTGGGCGAAAAGAAGAGTACGCAGATTCAGCAACCGGATTTGATGGCTCTTCCAATACTTCAGAAAGTCTATATGCTGAGAAACATGATGTGCATGAAGTTGACAGCATAAAGAGTACAGTATCTGGTGATCTAGGTGGGCTTTCCATTGGCCAAAGTCTTGAGTCAGAGAAAGGAGATCAGGGTGATCATCAATATCCAGTGCAGGGGTCCAATAATTGGGCTCATAACTGGGGCTCTGACTATGCTGCTGATAGTGACCTGATTGCTGCATATAAAGAAAACAGTAGACTTGGAGAAAGCTTGGAAGTAGCCGAGTCCTCCATTGTTGAGCTGAAGCTAGAGGTTAGCTCTTTGCAAAATCATGTTGATGAGATGGGTGTTGAAACACAGAAAATTGCTTGGCAGGTTGCTACTGAGACTGCTTCGGGTAAAGAACTGACAGAAGAAGTTTCAGTACTGAAATCTGAGTGTTTAAACCTAAAAGAGGAGCTTGAGAGATTGAAAAATTTGCAATCAAGTCTTACAGAATCTAGAAAAGTAATTTTGGAGGCTGACCAGGCTAGCTTATGTCAAAAGTTAGAGCCACAGTGGTTAAAGGGGCTCTTAACAATGGAGGAAAAGATTAGAGATCTGCTAAATAAGTCTCAATTTGGATGTCAAGACAGAGATGTTCGGTTTCTCCTGGCCGACTTGGAGGGCTTGCTCTGTTTTCTGCAAGATATCAGAGAACAAATGCAACAGGCAATTTCATGTGACAACGCAAACCAAAATGATATCAGAAAATTGAACTCCCCGACAAGTCAGATATTGGCATCAGGAACTGGGTTTGATTCAGATATTTACCACACTGAGAGCATGCTTCATTGTCTTATACCGGGTCTGGTGTCCTATGAACCCAATTCTGTAGATGCCATCAGTTCAATGAAAGGGAAAATTTTTGAACTTCTAAGGGAGCTGGACGAGTCAAAAGCCAAACAGGAGGGCCTTGCACAGAAAATGGACCAGATGGAATGCTACTACGAAGCTTTTATTCAGGAACTTGAGGAAAATCAGAGACATGTGATCGGAGAGCTTCAGAATCTCAGAAATGAGCATGCAACATGTATATATACTGTCACGGCCTCTAAGGATGAGATAGAAGCACTGCATCACGAAATGAATAACCATTTAATGAAGTTTGCCGAAGACAAGAAGCATTTGGATTCTATCAATAAGGAGCTTGAGAGGCGGGCTTCTAGTGCCGAGACAGCTCTCAAAAGGGCACGCTTAAATTACTCAATTGCTGTGAATCAGTTACAGAAGGACCTTGACCTATTATCTGGCCAGGTTACGTCCATGTTTGAGACTAATGAGAACCTCATTAAGCATGCACTTGCTGGTTCTTCACTACCAAGTAGTCAGGAATACTGTGAAATAGGTTGGAATCCAAAAGTTGAATTGGAGGAATTTCCTGCTGGCAAACTCTTGCAGTGTCAGAATCATGATGCAGGTGTAAAGAAATATCACTTAAGTGGAGGTATTTTCTCTGAGGACTTGAAAAGGTCTCTCTACTTGCAGGAAGGTCTGTATCAAAAGGTTGAAGATGAAGTCTTTGAACTGCATTTATCAAACATATACCTGGATGTGTTTTCAAAAACGCTACACGAAACTTTGCTTGAAGCAAGTACTGGTTTCAAACTTATGAAAGAGAGAATGAATGAGATTAGTCAGCAGCTGGAGCTATCGACCAAGTCCAAGGAATCATTGTTACTTGAACTGCAAGCTTCTTTGGAAGAGATCCAATCTCTAAATGAATATAAGACTGCAATTGTTGCAAAGTATAATGAAATGGCATTAAAAACTGAAATTTTAGAAGAAAATTTATTAAATGTTACTCGTGAGAATTCCTTGCTTACCAAGAGAATAACAGAATGTGAGGCCTTGGTGACAGAATATAGAAGTTTTGAGATGAAGTATCAAACCTGTCATATGGAGAAGTTAGAGCTGGAAAATTCAATGATGGAGGAAAACATTGAAAACAAAAATATCCGTAATGAGATTTCATCTTTGCACGAGGAGTTGAAAGCACTTAGAGTTGAATTTGACAACCTATTTTCAGAGAAGGAGGAGCTGCATAATACTGTTGATTTTGTGCAAGATAAGTTGAGTAAATTGTTGGCTTCCTGTAGAAAAAACTCTAACAATTTCTCTCTCTTTGGTGAATCTGTCTATAATGACTCGGAGTCGGACAGCTTAGCAGGCTTGGTTTTGCAATTTGAAAATCTGCATCTTAATGCATGCAAGAAACTTCTCCAGCTCATGGATGAGAATAAACATCTGATGGAAGAAAGAGATATGGCTCAAAAGTCCTTAACCAGAGTAGCATCAGATAATCTGATTATGAAAGAGAATTTTGGAAGTGCAAGACAAGACATGGTCAATAGACTGGACAAGGCTAATGGACTGGTACAAAAGTTTCAGATAGCAATTGAGACCGTTTCTGAAAGTATCAATAGCAGTGAAGCTGGAGATAAATTTACCCAGCAGCATAAAGAACTTCTGTCTGTTCTTGATCATGTGGAGGATGAACTGCAACAACTGACTTCTAAAAACAATGGCCTTGAAAATGAAATGATGGCACTGAGGTTGGTAAATGAAGAACTTGAAACTTGTAAGTTTACCATCGAGGTGCTAACAAAGGAGAAACAAGATCTACTTGAGTCTTTACATGAAAAAGTAGAGGAATCAATGGAGCTTAAGTCGGAGCTGGGTCGTTTAGAAGAAAAATCTCAATCATTGTCTAATGAGCTAGATATCGAGCAAAGTTTCAGAGATGTCTTAGAGAACAGAATTAAAGATCTTGATGCCCAAATAAAGGAGAAGAGTTGTAAGTTGCTAGATTTTGAGAAAATGAAGGCAGAAGCTGGAAGTCTCAAGCAATTGGTGTTGGATCTCGAGTCGGAGAAATCAAGAGTCCACAAACGTTTAATACAGTCTGAGGAACTTCTTATGCATTTTGATCAGAAGAGTTCTTCCTTGGTTTGTTTGGAAAGTCAATTAAGTGAAATGCATGAATTTTCAATTGCTGCAGATATTAGCCTAGTTTTCACAAGATCTCAGTATCAGGACCAGCTTGAAAATTTTGTTCACCAATTTCTGTTATCAGAAAGGGACTTTATTTCTCTTCAGGAAAAGTATCTTAATGTAGAGACTGCTCTTAATCATTGTCAGGCTAGTGAAGCATGTCAAGTTGAAGAGAATGCTAGATTGTTGATGAGTCTCAACTCTCTAAAAGCTGAGATAGAAGCCTTCGCTTCAGAAAACAAAATGCTTCTTGATGCAAACGAAAAAATAATGACTCGGTCTGAGGAGTTACAAAGTCAGACTAAAATTTTGGAGGCTGCAGCTGATGCCGATAGAAGTCAACATGCTCGAGAGGTTGAAAAACTGGGGAAAGAGTTGATGACTTGTGAGACAGAAATTGATGATTTGTTGCTTTGCAAGGAAGAACTGGAAGTAAGCTTGTTGGTTGTCAGATCAAAATTGGATGAACAGCATGCTCATGTGATCTTGCTCCAAGGTATGAGCGATGAGATTGTGATCTTGCAAAATAGGTGTAATGAGCTAAACCAGAGGCTTTCTGAACAAATCTTGAAAACAGAAGAATTCAAAAACCTGTCTACTCACTTGAAGGATCTAAAAGACAGGGCCGATGCGGAGTGCCTCCAACTTCGTGAAAAAAAGGAGAATGAAGGGCCATCCAACGCCATGCAAGAGTCTCTCAGAATTGCATTTATTAAAGAACAATATGAAACAAAGTTGCAGGAGTTGAAGCACCAGCTCTCTGTGTCCAAGAAACACAGTGAAGAAATGCTATGGAAATTGCAAGATGCAATCAATGAAGTTGAAACTAGAAAAAAATCTGAAGTGTCTCACATAAAAAGAAACGAAGAGCTGGGAAAGAAGATCTTGGAGTTGGAAGGTAACTTAAATGCAGCTCTCTCTGAAAAGCGGGAACTAACGAAAGCATATGATTTGGTGAAGGCTGAAAAAGAATGCTCTTCTATCAGCCTTGAATGCTGCAAGGAAGAAAAACACGACCTTGAAGCTTCTTTGAAGAAATGCAACGACGATAGATTTAAAATTACAATGGAACTGAATTTAATGAAGGATTTACTGGAGAGTTACAAATTTCAGACGAGCATGCACAAGGAAGGCAGTGATGGAAAATACTCAGAAGATCACATGTCCAAGTCCTCAGACCAAGATAATGCAGCTCCTTGTGAAGAAGTTGAATGCACAAGATCAGTTTCAGCTGATGAGACCCATAATTCACATGCTTTTCTCAATGGTCAAGGGCAACCGGAGCAGGTACATAATGTTCTTGTATAATTGGGCTGATTTGTTTGAGCTTGTTTAGAGAACTCAATATGCCATGTCTATCGTTACTTCAAATGCATCTTGATTAGAAAAGTTATGTTTCTCTGGAAAAAAATTGAGGCCGTGTTTTGATAATAATTTTGTTTTTAGTTTAAATTTTAAAAATTAAGCTTCCATCTATTCATTTCCTTGTTTTGTTACCCACCTTTTAAAAATGTTTTCAAAATTTAAGTCAAATCTTGAAAACTTGTTTTTATTAACATGCCATAGAAATTGCGAGGAAGCCGGCACAATTTTCAAAATTAGCAAAATTCAAAACGAAATTGTTATCCAATGAAGCCTTAATTTAGAACCTAGATTAACTGAAATGACTGCCATTATGTAAATCTTACCACCCCTCATTTCCATGTCAATGGCAGGATGTTCTCATGTCAAGAAGTGTTAATGGACTTCAAAATATCTCTCCTGGAGATCAAGAGGTTGTGCTGCATGATGAGACAAAGCATTTAGCTCTAGTAAATGATAATTTCAGAGCTCAAAGCTTGAAATTTAGCATGGACCATCTAAATGAAGAGGTTAGTAAACTGTACTGCAGAAAGAAAGTGAGAATTTCTTCATTTGACTTATCAATATCATGTTTAGTCTAATAGCTCAGGACTGAAGTTTAAGCATCTCGTCTAGATCCTGCTATATGAACTCAAACAGATTCATTTCTAAATGTTGTTATATTCAACTCTTGTATTCCGCTTGCAGTTGGAAAGACTGAAAAATGAAAACTCGCTAAACGAGGATCATCCTTCTGACTCAGATTTGCCTGGTTTAGAACATCACCTGATGCGGTTACATAAGGTGATCTATAATTAGCATTTACCAACTTCCAATATGTAAATTGACATGTTAACACTCGAGTTCATTTATTCAGGCGAATGAAGTACTAGGAAGCATATTCCCCCTGTTCAAAGAATTTTCGGGCAGTGGCAATGCATTAGAAAGAGTACTAGCTTTGGAAATCGAGCTTGCAGAAGCATTGCAGGGAAAAAAGAAATCAAATTTTCAGAGGTAAACCATGGCCAATTTGATATTTACTAACATTTTTCAATTGCATAAAAGCCTTAATTCTCTGTGTTTGTGCTAGATTGTTTGAAGTCGAACTATTCTGATACTTTCAACAAAACATTTGGTCTGTGGTTCAGTTCTTTCTTGAAGCAACACAGCGACGAAGAAGCGATATACCGAAGCTTCCGAGACATCAATGAGCTTATCGAAGATATGTTAGATCTGAAGGGAAGGTATACGACTGTAGAGACTGAACTAAGAGAGATGCATGACCGTTACTCCCAATTAAGCCTTCAGTTTGCAGAGGTTGAAGGAGAGAGACAGAAACTCATGATGACCGTCAAGAATGTCCGAGCATCCCGGAAGCTTCTAAGCACCAATAACCGACCCTCATGGTCACCCCGCGGGGAGCATTCTCCTCCATAAGCTACTTGGCTTCTAAGTGTGGTCTCTCTGGTCTCTTTCACAAGTTGTTGAAATCACATTCAGTTGGAATATGACACCAAAGGCTCCATCTTTGGCTTCCTGCATCATCTCTTCAAGAAGCATATCGAGAGATGATACCGTCACCGGGAACCGAGACGTTATGATTTTGGAGTCAGCTGCACAAGTTGAAACACAACAGTTTTGTGTAAATAAGAAGAAAGCTTCTGCACCTATTCATTCACCAGATGGTAGAGTATTATCAAGTATAGGATCTTCTCTTCTATTTCAATGTAATTTTTTCTGTACAGTAAACGAAATACCTTCATGGCTAGATAGATGACTAAACTCTCCGAATATAATTAAGAGGAAGCAAATGAAACCATATCATTCAATCTTTGACCCTTTCTGGCATCTTGCTCCCCTTGGTGTGTGGATAATTTGATATTCTGCGCCCAAGTCATTGAGAAAATAAGTCATTTAGTTTGGCGGGTACAACATGCAGTTACTTTTATATCATATGAGAGAGATCAGTATCTAACGATTATAAGAATGATAGTCAGATTGAATAATCCTTCTGAGTCATGTGGAATGTAACAATACTCTTTTTCCCCATTCTTTTTCTTTCTTTCTGCCTCAAAATTTTTCCTTCCCATGAACTAAAGATTCTAATAAAAATAATCTAAACGGAAGGTGATGATTAACGTTTGCTACATTTTAATTATGGTGGGCCTGGCCATGGAGCGAACTCCATTTTCTTTGTGGGCTTATTGGGCTGCGGTAAACCACTGCAGGGTATTTTTTAGGCCCATTAGGCCCAAAGATGACGACCATGAAACGAACATATATAGTTATTTATTTAAAAATCAGGCTACTTTCGGAAATGACCATTGTAGCACTATATTTTTCAGAAATAGCAATTTGAAAAACAATTCTATTTTAAAATTCAAGAGGGCCATCTAACGTAGAGATTAAAAATTACAGCCTCAGCTCTGTTGGTCTGATAAAAATAAAAATAAAAAAGTAGATGTTATTTTATTTTATTTGGAAAGTAATTTGTTGACAATAATATACATTAGTCTTATCATTTAAAAAATATATACACACATTATTCTATTAAAAAGATGTTACAAAGCATATATCTTTGTCATTATACTTGGTCACTATACCTGGTTAAATCTTACTATTATCATCCTTATTGTTTAACCTAGGCTCATCTTTTCATTGATCTACCAATATTGTACCAAATTATCATGAACTTATTTTCCATAAAAATTAGGAAGTTTGGGATGATTTTTTAGAACAAAATTTCAAAATTGTTTTTAAAATTTTAAATATCATTTTTGAAAATCATATAATCATCCCTAATATCGTGAGAGACAACATTAACATTGACATAAATGAGAAATTGCAACAATTGAAAATATAATTTAACCAAAAAATTAAAGGAAATGTTGCTGAAATATTTCTATTTGATGAACTGAAATTTGAAAGAAGGAAAAACGAAAAAGCCTTAAAAATGCAGAAATATTAATGGAAGATTAAAATGGAATTGTTGTACCTTTCAAATGTTTTAAAGTGCGGCCTCCTTATCACTTCCTTTTTCTTTTTCTTTTCTTTTTCTTCTTTTTTTTTTTTTTTACCTTTTTGAAAAAGTCACGTAACTGTACCCATCGGACGAAGAGGCGCTGAACCGAAGTGTCCATTGACGACATGTCGATCCACACTGCAAAACGGTTGCCGATCACGAAACATTCCACCGCCGATGCCCTCGCCACCGTACGTAAAACTCTTGAAAGCCGGATCTGACGCCTCCTCGATTGCTTCGCCTTCTTCGCATTCTATTGATTCGATGTCCTCCGCGTCCTCCGTTCGCTTCTCTCTTCCTCCGTCTTCTTCGACGAATTGGAGATCTCGATCGTCGTCCTCAGAATCGTCGGGTAACGGCGCCGGAACGAATTTCAGGATGAGTCGCCCATTTTCCCGGTGCGATTCCATGTACTGGAGGTGCCTCACTCTCTCCAGCGTCAAAGTTAATCTTCCATCGGAGCAATGTCTGGTTAAAACCCACGGCGGCCGCGTTCGAGGCCCTGCCTGTGCTGCTAGGAAAGAAATCGGCGGTGGAAACTGCTTTTCCGCCGCACATCGCTGATTTTGCTTATCAAGATCGCGGTGATCAACGCGATGATAACGATAATCGGAGGATTTCTCATCGATTTCTTCTGCAATCGAATTGGTCAAGCAAACACCGCTCTCAGTGCCTATCAAATCGTCCATTAACAAACAAGATCTGATCGAAGAAGAAGAAGAAGAATGAGTCAACAGTTTTGACCTGATAATGCCAACTCCAGCACTGCGAATAAGTCGTTGTGCCTTTTCTTCTCCTTCTTCCCCTTCTTCCGAAGAAATTAGGGCTTTGAGTCCAGAAATCGAAAATCGTACTGATTCGGGAACTGGACGGCGTTTGTGCGTTTGCATGGGAGACCAAAAAGTGGATGCGCAGAGAAGGAAACCGAAGAAAGATGAAACGATGATCCTAAGCTTTCCAAACAAGTCGCGTTCGCCTGAGAAATAATCCATGGCGATTTTTTCCCTCCCAAACCCAAACCCTAGCCATGGTGGGAAATGGATATTTTAGACACTTTTATTGTTAATTATTAATATTTTCGATAAAATTACACAGAAACGGAACGGATGCGTCCCCGCGCCCTCCATCGGTTAGCGACTTAATCAATTAACCTGCAATATTAAGAAATATACCCAATTAACACACTCCCAGTTTTCGATTTTCTATATATCTAATGGATTAAATTACAGATTTAGTTTTTTATTTTTCTTTTGTAAATAATTTAGGACCATTTACTTACCATAGCTGTAATGGGAATTAATCAAAATGAAAATCAATGATGTTATTTTTTTCATGTTGTTTACCTTTATTCTTTTTAGCTAATTATAAATATGTACTAATTTTTTTTAATTACAATAATAATAAATTTTAATTTAATTTATTACTGTACTCTTATAGTAAATATTTTTTTATATTAATAAATACTTAATAATTAAAATAAAATTACATCAAATAAAATATTTTTTCATTAGAAGACCATAATTTAATATAACATATTATTAAATTTTATTATTTTAATATTTAAAAATAATAATTTCTATTTTAAAAAATCTACTGATGTTAATTAATATAAATTTATATAATGTATAATTAAATCACATCAACTAATAAAAATTGAAGTATAAATAGAGAAGAAATTATAAAAGTATAAAAAAAATTAATTAAAAATTGTATGGGTCTAATTAATATACGAGAAAGAAAAGGTAAAATTTTAAATTAATTATAATAAATACGTGAGGCAAACAAAATAAAGAATTTGAATGAGATTTATGGGTTGTAATTAGAGTGTAATGAGATCACACCTCTTTATAGGGAATGAGATTGTTGGGGTGGATCCCACCATTTGATTTCATTTCTATCGAATAGGGAATGAAAGTTTTCAGGTAATTAAACAAGGCTTTTAGTTTAATTTTTAGTGTCTAATACATTATTTATCTTTACAAACTTTTAATATGTGTCTAATAGATCACTAATTTTTTATTTCATTTATCTAAGTTTCTAACTTTTTCGATGTTGTTAGCTAATAGACGATCTTGAATATGTATATGAGACATTTTTGTAAAGTTTAAAGATTATTTGTGTACTCAAAACTAATAGTTCAATGATCTATGAGATATATAATATGGGTTTATTATACAATTTTTAAAGTTTATGGTCCTATTGAAAATTTAGAGATCTATTACATCATTTTTAAAGTTAGAAGTAGTAAAAAAAAAAAAAAAAAATTGTTAGACACATCTTTATAATACATTGGCAGAATTTTAAATCAATAACAGATTTAAATCCCGTTTTGGTTTTCATCTTCGTGTAAATTAATATCTTATTTCGGTTTCATAAGAGTTTGTTTTGATTCTTGTTGTTAAACTTGAATTTCATTCAAATTTATAAAAATCCCTCATACCATCTATTTTGAAACTAACTCATACATTTAGAAAATAGATTAAAATCTCATTTTAATTACTGAATTTTAGGTTTAATCCTTTTTGTGCTATGAAATTTTGAACTTTTTATTTTAGTAAACTTTTATTTTATAAAAATAATCCTTTCAAATATATCTATTGTCTTTTTTTTTTTTTTTAACAAATAGATAATGAATACAAGTATCAATAGGTGACCAGACTTGCATCTATTATATTACATAGATTGACTAGGGTGATTTATTGGATGGACAGATATTGGGTGAAAAAAATATAATAGTGAACAACACGATTATCTTAGTCTAATAAATAATTTAAACTTCTACTCACATGTTGTTAATAAAAATAATTTCACATGTTTAAATAATTATTAAATACATTTACCGGATTCGACCTTAATTTGATAACAAAACAAGTAAAGATTTATATTAAACATAATTCTAACTTGTACCGTCTATAAGTATTTTTATTTCGTTTTTAATGAAAGAAAGCATTAAAAAGAAATATAATTAGAAAAGTAATGACTATATTCCACAATCGGAATACACCTATCTAAGGATAGAGAAATGATAAAAAAAAATGGCTCACTTGTCAATAAAAGAGCCTGTTTGTTAAAAACCTTATTCAAATTCATAACATCATCAACCTCATTCAAAAATTGGAAGTGGAAGAAAAATAATTATCCAACCACCATGACCGGTAAGGAAGAGTTGGACAATTTTCTCAAATCATGTGAGTCGTGGATCTTAGGGTTGTTCAAGGACCCCGACAACTCGACGAATTCGAGGGTTGGACTGGGTTGGAAAAATCTCAACCCGACCGAGTTGGGTCGGGTCTCGAGTTGACCCTTGAAAATCCCGAGTCAACCCAACCCGACCCGAGATTACTAATAATCTAATATTACATATATATAATAAATCAATCATTTTAATTAAAATCTTATTTTTTTATTCAATCTCATCTATCCATATCATTAAATCTCAATCATTGATTTTAAGTTTCAATTCAATTCTTCCTATTTTGAATGTTTGATTCTTTCTCATCTCTAACATTTTCAATTTCATCTTCCTCTCTCCCATCTCTCTCTACAATCTCGTCGCCGCTGCCTTGCTCGCTCCCGTCTCGACCTCTCGCTGCCGCCGCCTCTGGCCACCACCGCTGCCTTGCTCCGGTTTACTCTCTCTCTCTCATTCTGCTGGTTTTTGCTTTTTAACCCAATAAAAAAAACTTCAATAATCACCTCCAAGGCAAAAGTAAATTAATTAATCAATTAAAAAAAACACGGCAACCCAACCCGAATTTATTGTATTTGATAATTCTTCAAAACATCCTAATGACGAAGTCGCAAACCATAATCATCTTTGATTTTGTCAGCCACAACAGCACAATTAACATTCTCAATATCCGCCATCGTCACCACGGAAACCAAAAGAAAAGAATGATCCTTCGTCCCAAAAATTTTAAATATAAAGAAGCATTAAAATTTAGAGATTTGAAATAAAATTTGAAATGGATTAATTAGAGAAGTCAGAAAGAAAGGGAAAAAAGAAAAGGAAAAGAAAAAAGATCCATGGTGTTGATGTTCGTGTCGAGTACAGTACAAGTACAACTCATATATTTTGTTTCCGTTCATTCAAACTCAGCCATCTGTGACTATGACTGCCAACCTTCATTTTTCATTTTCATAGGCTTAGCGGTAAAATGCCGTTGCAAATTTTATGTCTACGGAGTTCATAAAAGGTCGATGTTTATAAATATTTTTTTAAAAATTTATAAAGAATATTTCAATTATGAAATAAATATTTTAATCTTAAAAAAAAATTAATATTAGAATCATCTAGTAATATTTTATTGATATTTTTCATATTGTCAATTTTATTATATTGATACATACCAATATCGAAACGTTGATTGATATTTAGTATGTCGCTTGTACGGTACCTATTATATTTGTAAATTTAAAAATAATTACACGATTTTATCTAAAATTAATTGAAAGTAAATCGACAAAATGAAGATTTTAAGAGGCGTGATAACTAAAATAAATTTAAAAAATATATTTTTAAAACTTTTCTTTATTGTTTTGTTTGTTTTGCAGATACTTCTGGTCGTGTGACAGATCTGTTGGTGTCTTTTTCTCTTCATACTTCAGAGTTCAGACTTCATTTATGTATCATTTGTACCTTATAACTATTTATTTCATACAAAAATATTTTTGCTTTTAAAATAAATTACGTTTAAAAAAATTAAACTTCAAATTGGGTCTCAACCCTAAGCATTCCAAGTGTCATCACTCATGACTTCAAAATGTCAGTTAAAATATCTACAATGTGTATAAAGAGGTTGATGATATAAATATAATAAAATTATAATTCTTTTTCTTCCAACACTTAATTAAATTTTAATTTTAATTTTTAAAAAATCAATTTTAAATTTTATTGAATTCAACCATCAACTTCCTATTTTTTTTAGTTAGATTTGAACTCCCTTCGCGAATCTCATGGTGCAACCACATATGGAATTTGAACTCATTCTCGTTAAGCATAGCGCCTTTAGAACAATGAACCACTTATGATGGTTAATTAAGGAGTCTATTTTGGAGTTTAAATTTTTATATTTTTATAATTAGATTCCATTTGATAACCATTTTGTTTTTTATTTTCTATTTTAAAAAGTTATATTTGATTATTTTCATTAGTTTTTAATATTTTTCACATTCTTTTACCACACATTTGAATTCTTAGCTAAATTAGAAAAGAAAAAAAAGTTTATTTTTAGTTTTTAAAATTAATTTAGGATTTGATTTCATTTTAAAAAGTAGATAAAAAAATACATGGTATAAAAATAGTGTTTTCATACTTAGATTTTTAAAAACATAAAAAAAAGCTTAATTTTTTGTGTTTTGTTTAGATTTGTGTGATTTGTTGATCCGTGAGTTAATTCCATTCCATATATATATAATATATGGTTGAATATAATAGAAAAAAATAGGTGGGAGAATATGAGAATGATGTGGGGAATATGAAGGCCAATGATAAGGAAGGACTGACAAAGGAAAGGGTATAGATAGCTGTACCACATTATTCAAGAGAAGAAGAGATGGACAATGCAAATTATCAAATGGCCCTTGGAAATTGAATTCTGTACTTTTGCTATTTATACCCTTTCTGCCATTTCTCTGCCTTCTCTCTCTATATTTTCATCTATAGATTTATTAATTCATGAAAAAAAATAAATTATCGATTTAGTGTCTGTTATTTTAAAATCTTTAATTCTCATGGATTTAAATTAAAAATGTCAAATCTTTATATATTATAAGTTGAATCAGGTAAAGTAATTTATAGGGATTGGATAAGAAGAAGAACATTATTAAAACAGTATCTGTTGATGATGCAACTCAACTCCAAAGTGTCGGCGTTTGAAGAATTTATGTTTCGATTATTTGGACTTATTGTATTATATAATAAAGCTGTAAAAGGAACTTGGAAAGTCAAACGTAACGTGTCCCGGCATGTAGCATCAATATTTGCAAATAATAAGCAAAGCAAGACTGCAAAATTATTTAATTATTTTAATATTTCATTCCCATATAAAACACCACACCGACGCCACAATAAGGTATATAAAAGAGAGTTTTTTTTTTTTTTTTTTTGTAATTTCAAGAAAAATATTATTATACAATACTACTCACTCTTGTAATTTAGCCATGTTGAACCAAAATCAAGAAATCGTGTCGACTTATACTAATTTCATTCAAATTAAAATGATAAGATAAGAATATGATTTCTGAAATAAGCAAAATATCAGGATTGAGCCCTTAAGAAAGACTGCGAGACAAAATCCAATTTTCAATCTCTCTAAACAAATTTTAATGATTGAGTTTCGAAATAAACTTTTTTTTTTTTTTTTGGAAGAGAAATATGGATTTTGGAAAGATGAATGCAACGTTCATCGTTAAATAAAACAACACAATGGAGAGTGTGTTTTAACAATACAGACTACAGAGAAAGAAAGTGACAAATCATATATGATATATCATTATCATCATATCATATTTTATAGGAGAAATGAAATAAAAAGGCTAACTAAAGACCCAACCCCAACCCAAACAGGTCTCGAATTTTATTAGTTTCTAGTTTCAAGTTCTAAAATGTTATCGCTGTTGTTGATGCTGACAATATTTCATTGTTTTCTTAGCTTCGAACGGTCCTCAGGGTCCCTGCAGAAAGTGCAGGCACTGCCACTCCGAACATAAGCGCTGGATCTCTGCGCCTCCTCACAATCCCATTCTTTAAGCATTTCATTTTCCCCCCTTTCTCAAAATCCTCATCCTCATCCTCCTGATCTTGCCCGGATTCGCCGTCGCCGTCGTCGAGGGCCACCAGCTGCAGCATCAGACGGCCGTCGGATCTGTGGGCCCGGAAGTATTCGTGGTGCCTCACTTTCTCCTCCGTCAGTATCAGCCGCCCGTCGCCGGTGTAATGCCGTTTCAACACCCACGGCATGTGGGAAGCCAGATTCTCGGTGCGAACCAGCAATGGGATCGGCGGAGGATACTCCCTCTCCTTCCTCCCCGTTCCCCCCCACATTTTATTCTCCCTCTTATCGGAGAATTTCATCGGCGGCGGCGGTGGCATCGTGTCGGCCGCCGTTTGATTCTCTTTCAAATCAACACAACTCTCCATGCCAATGTAATCATCAATATCGGACTCTCGAGTACTGGAAGGGAAAACCCTCTGGCTCTGGCTCTGGCTCTGCATAGCGATTCACAAACAGAGGGTTCTTAATCAGCAGAGATTAGGAAGAGGGAAGGATGGTGGTGCGGTTTGAAGAAGTGGAGGAGGATGGGGTATTAATAAAGAGAGGGCGCTGGTCTGTTTTGTATTCAGAAACCGATCCCTTCAAAAGGAAATTTAAATGCGAGGCCAATGAAATAAAACAGAGTAAAATGGTGTCATCCATGGAGGATAATTAATAAAGGAAGTAAATAGGGTTCGAGGATTTGGCACTGTGAAACTAATTTTCAACATTTGGAAGCGGTACGTGGGCTACAAAATTGCACCACGTATTTGCTTCGATGTCGCGCACACGATGTGGCTACTACAACTCAGCCCTCGCCTCACCCATAAACGCTCTATGATGCAATTAATTAAGTACCAAATTTCCAAGTGGAGCCCTAAATTTGCCCCTCTGTAGAAGGAGACGAAGGGGAATTTGGAACTTAAACTTAAACTTAAACATATCCTTGATCCTACTATAGTCCAAAGGATAAGATTTCCGGTCACCGATCTAAAAAAGATCGCAGAAAAAGGAAAAAGCGAAGAGAGAAGATTAAGGGGAAGACATCTGTCGCGTTAGGAAGAAGAAGCTCGAAATTCAACACGCGGTGAGGTTCTTTTTTCTTCTTTCAATCTTGTGTGATTACTGTTCGATTTTAGTTAGTGAAAGTCCAATGAGTAAAATTACACCAAAAAACTTGAATCGTTCGATCGAAAACGGAGAGTGGAATCAACACAAGCCCTAGTGCGGGCCAAACAGTTGCAGTTGGAGATTGATTTCTCAAACAATCGAAAAGAAACTAGTAAAATGAGAGAAGGAGAACTTACGAGGGAGAGAATGGGGAAGCCTCTCGTCAATGGCGATAATGGAGAACTTCGAGAACTCCGAAACAGCGTTTGATCTTCGCCTCTTTCTTACACCTCTGCGAAAGATCAAATGGCGACGGTTTCGGCGTTTCCCGCTTCCTCCCGAAGTGGTTGTAAAGGAAACGCACACTTTGGAAATCAGATTTTTTTTTTTTTCCTTCTCGTTCTTTTTCATATCTACCGCGTTTTTCTTAATCGGAACATTTTTTATATCAATTAATTATACATAATTGGAAAATATGTAATTACGTATGATTATTTGCTTAGAAACGATTAGGATCAACAGATTAAGCGAGCTAGTTCAAATAATCGCTCGAAATATATGTTTAATAAATTCTTTTCCAAAACTAATAGTAGACTAAAACCAACAAAATGAATATCAACCAACAACTTGTTCAACTTGTACATTTCTTCTTGCGTGGTTTTACATTTGCAATTGTTTCTCATTTTCCCAAAAAAGAAAATAGCATTGAGTTCAAAATTTCAGAGTTAGAAAATCAACGCAATAGTTCCATATGTGGAAGTTGGAATTTCCCTTTGGTCTAAGATAGATGATTAAAGAAAGTATTAAACAATGCTCAGATTAACATTGCTTATCTAACCAAATTAGCGAAATTTAAACATATCTAATCCAGTAACAAAATTTTTTTTTAATAATATACTTGTCTTCAAAAAGTTCTCATTCTTCAAAATGAAAAGAAAAACAGTTTCGAGTTATACATATGTATATATATTAAAATATATATTTTTTGAATCACAACAAGAAGGGAGGGATCAATGTATAACAACTTAAAAATAGGAATTATCACAAAAACCAAAGGTCTAGAAGGTGATTATTTCTGCGCCCAAATAAACGTTTTTTTTGCTTTCAGAAAAATGAGTACGTATTACGCGAAGCAGCTTTATATTTACATCGATGAATAATAATACGAGTTGCTTGCATCATTTAAATCCAGTAATGAGAAGCAGAATTGCATTGCTAATGCGGAAGACAAGGAAATTCTGAATTCTCAATCGTCTAGGCATAAATAGATAAAAATACTTGAACATTCCACTTTAGACCACATCTCAACTAAACAAAACCTCAAAGACATCAACAAAATCTGGGTTTTTTACACAAGTACCATTAACATTTTTAAAAATTGACTGCAGAAAGTAGGTTGCTATTCTGAGGACATTAAAAGATGGAAATTCCACCGTTTGCTGAAGATAAAAGATGCCGCAAAAAAGACAGCTTCTAAAGGGTACTATCACTGATCACCAGGAAGCGACTTGATAATATCAGAGTCACCTGAAAAATAATAAAGCAGCGGAAGACTAGGTAAACCCGATCAGCTCAAAGTCTGAACTTTTTAAATTTTATGTTTTAAGTTCAATGTAGGGGTATAATTTGAATATCTTACCTTTGTATAATACTTTTCACCAATAAAACAAAGCTTAGGTTGACATTTTAAAAAATTGTTTAAACACTTACTATTAGTGCCATTAAAGATCTGACAAAAATTCTAATTTATTTCTAAATCCAACACCTAACCAACTCAATCAAATGCTTGTTCTATTAGGATATTTTAACCCATCAAATACATGAACAAAAAATGGTGTCTATATGAAGTATTTTTGTCAAATAATTACTAAATAAACAGAGACAGAGGAAGAGTAAGGACTAAAATCGATTGTTGAGCAAACTTCAAGAATTTAGAACAAAACATTTAAAAGTTAAAAAGAGCAAAATGAAATTAACATTAAACTTCATAGCTATAAACCCAAAAACATATTTGTAGTACCTGGGTCAATAATGCTGAGGCATGACACGCGGAAATACTTGCCACAGGCGGTTCCAAGATCAACATTGCCTAAATTAACATCCAAATAACAATAATATATAAGACACAGAAGAAACAAAACAAACAAATAATTGTATATGAAGATACAGAGAAGGCGAGGCATAATGACCAAGCATAAACCCACTAATTGAAGGTGTGTTTGGTAACTTTCCCTTTTTTATTTACATTTCCAATTTTATTAAGAAATTTAAGAAATTGACAACTATTTATATTTCATGTTTCTCATTTTTTAAGAAACAATTCTCAAAATTGTCCAAAATATTTGAAAACAACAAAATCAAAATCAAGTTTCTTCGTTTCTTTTTCTCATTTCCAATTTGTTCCTAAATAAATACAAATCTTGTTTTATTATTCTTGCATCGATGGGTGTTGGGGCAAACAATTCTATTTTTCTTTATTAAAAATAATGAAACAAAAACAAGAAAGTTACCAAACAGGCAAGTATTCTCAAAGTAAAGATGCAAGGGATGAAATGCAAGTTTAAAACTGGTTCTCCCAGACCCCACATCATTTTTACAAGTAACAACCAATGGTAGCAAACCACCCATTTTCATACTAAAATATCAACAACCCTGGAAGGTAGTAGTTACCAATCGCTACGAAAGTATGACGGAACCAACTATTTTACATATACTTATATAGAAATTCTAGTCAAGATGAACTACACACTAAAGAACCTCATTATGATCACTTATTGTAGCAGAATACCCAGCAGTTATCTAATTGATCAAATAACTCAAATATACAAACAATCGCCCAACACTTGTAAATGTTATAAGTTTCTGTCCAGACACTGAAATAATCTACATCTCATACGTAGCTGACCGTGCCAAGTATACAAACTATTTTTACCCATTCTAAGGTAATGAAAGACATCAAACTACAATAAAATAGATTAGGTATGCCTCTTATATCGAAATCATGCAATATGAAGCTCCAAATATTATAAAGCATAAAATCCTGCTAGCAAATTGGAAATATAAGCAACAAACTCACAAAGCAGAGTCTATACTACACTTACTTCCGTTGTAGTGGTGAACCCCAACTTTAGCAAGCATCGCGTAGTACTCAATTTCAGACTTACGCAGCGGCGGGCAGTTGTTCGATAGGATTATAAGCTTCCCTGTGTTTTTAATAGATCGAAAAACGGAAAGTGTCAAAAGTACACAAACAAAAAAACCCTAAATTTTAATCAAACACCATATGATACGGGCAGATGAATACCTTTGGAGCTGCGAATAGTGCGTAGGACGGTTTTATAGCCCAGTGTGTACTTGCCGCTCTTCATCACAAGGGCGAGCCTGTTGTTAATGCTCTCATGAGTCTTCTTCTGCAAATAAAATACCACAGAACGTTCAAACTACCATCCCTAAAGCAAATGGGAAAGAGAAGGTTATCGATGGAAATAAGTACCGTCTTCTTCGCCGCCGCCATCGTCCCCTTGCCCTACGCTGAAGATTTTTGACGACCAAAGGTGGAGGTACTGCGAAGAAGAGGAATGTGAAAGTTAGGGTTTAGCATTTTATAGAGTGCACGTGTAAAACACGTGAAAAAGAACCGGGCTTCTTCGGCGGCCTGATTGGAATAATGGGCTTTTTTTATGATGGGTTATACCTCTTTCTCTAACTCAACCCATAAATTTTACAAAAAGCGAAACGACATCGTATTCTTTAGCTCCGAAACGCAGATGGACAAAATTTTCGAACTCGATGTATATAAATTTTCATTTATACAAATTTAAAGAAGACAGATTGGAGGTAAAAATTTTTAACTTTTTTATGTAATTTCTTTTATAATTCAAAACAAATTATGGGCACTGTATTCAAAATAATAAAAATACTAAATTATGGGGACTGTCCCCTTTCTTCCTTTTCATTACATAAAAATGATATGTATTTTTATTTTGAGAATATAAAAACAAGTAGTATGGGTCTCGTTTATTTACTAGGAATCAAAATGATAATTAAAATGTTATTTATTTGATGTTATTTACTATAAACTTCTCGGAACCATAAATTATTGATATTATTCACTAAAATGGTCTGAAATTATAATTAATAATACTTCTTTCTTATTTCTAGCTAATTATAAATAAATTAATTACAAAAATTACTAATATTATTTTAAATTAAAATATTAATAATTTTTTTTCTATTTTATTAAAAATTTTATTAACAATTTATTTAAGATTAATAAATAATTTATCTATAAAACACAAATATAAATAATTAAAATAAAACTAGATCAATTAAAAATAATATAATTTTTATCAGAACAGCTGCTTTTAATATAAAATATTATTAAATTTTATATTTACAATAGTTAATAATAATGAATTATATTTTATCAATTTTATTGAAATTAATTAATAATAACAAAGCACAATTAAATAATTAACAAACTAAATAGAAATTTCCTTATAAAAAAACAAAATAGAAAATCTATAATATTTTAGAGTAAAATCACATCAACTTGTTTTATAATTTTTTATTAGTAGAAAAATTTTTAGTAGCAGAAATAAACAAATAAATAATAAAAGTGTATGACAATTAAATTAAAAAGTAATGAATTTCATAAATAGGTGAGAGAGGAAATACCATAATTGTAAAGTAATTATTAAAAATGCAGAGGTTGTAGAAATTATAATTTTTTATGGATAGTAATTTCCAAATTTGAGATGAGTCCTACCATTTTATTTAATACAACAATCCTGCCTTTAAAAAATAAGTTTATATGTCGATTACCACTTAAATATGTTACAGATTTTTTTTTTAATACAACATGTTGATGAGGGGATTGAAACTCACAACCTTGTAGTTTGAGTCATATGTCAATTATCGCTGAAATATGTGGGACTGATTATTAAGGTTTAGTATATTTAGAGTCTCTCCAAAACATGTGACAAAAGAATCGGGCTTCTTCGGCTGCCTATTGAAAAATTAAAGGGCTTTTTTGTGACGCATTTCTCCTTTTCCAGCCCAGCCCAACAGCTGAGTTTTACAAATCATTCAACTAAGTCAATGTTATGGACTAAGTTTCATATAATTAATCTTGCGCCTACGTTAAAAGAATTAGGAGAAAAAGTTGCATCTACATTTAGTTGGTACATGTTCTCGCATTAGGGAGATTCTATTGCGCGCGAGCTCTCCTTTATATGACCAACAGATTTTGAAACTTGTTATTTGTCTCTTTGTATGTTTGAGATGTAACTCTCTATCCAACTAACTAGGGACTCAAAAGTTCATATTCTTATTTGATTAGAGATCACAACATTTATGTAATTCTAAATTGTCCATATAAAAAAAAATGACAAGTTTCTCAATATCCTCCCATATTGGTAAAACATATCTGTATTAGTTTATGAGATCCTAATAGTTAAAATGTATTTCGAATGGTCCACAATTATTGATATTTGGAATAAAAATAAACGTCTTATCCGATAAAATATGTTTTGATGGATCGTATTAGACACTTTTAAAGTCTATCGACTTATTGTACAAAATATTAAAAGTTCATTGACGTTTTAGTACATTTTAAAGTTTATGTTCTTATTAGATACAAAATTAAATTCTTTTAGTTTAATAATTATAGGAGGGATGATAGAACATATTCTATCTCATAAATTAGGTTGGAATTAATCATAAAATTAAAAGGTTAAAATTTTATTAAACATTCTTTAAAAAATTAATGGACTTACTAGGATCGAGAACTCGACGAACAAACTGTGTAATTTAAACTTTTTTTTTTTCTTCTCGAGGGTTGTAATTTAAACTTTTTACTATTTGTTTTAAATTAAGCATGTGCACAAACTTTTAAATTTCTAATATTGAGGAGTAAATAATATAGTCAGCGTCTCGTGGCTCTCTCCCATTGCTTTCTTTTCGCCACGTTAACGGGCGCGCACTATTAGAAGGAGCGCGCATCGTAGTATCGTGCGCACCGGCGCATAGTAACTCTCTCACGCCAATTTGGTTTTTCGTCATCAACATTCAACAACCTCTGCTCTGTTTGCAGACGGAACAATTTCATTCGCGTATTTGAAAATCCAGAACTGAGGTGCTTTTTCCCACCCGAAGCCCGACGCTCAGTCGCCGAACATTCATCCGGCCTTCCCCGGACTTCGCCGTTCCGAAATCTGGTCTTCACCTCGACTTTCCATGGCGAATTGTGTGGTTGTTTTGCTCTTAATGGCTTGTTTCTTAGCGGACAGCTCGGTTGCGCATACGTTCTCGTCGAAGCTCATACATCGGTTTTCCGAGGAGGCGAAAGCGCTTTGGGAGTCGAGGAGTGGTAATGTGTCTCGAAAATTTTGGCCACGGAGGGATAGCTTGAAGTATTTTGAATTGCTTATGGATAATGACTTGAAGAGACGGAGGCTGAAGATCGGATCGAAGGACGAGATGCTTTTGCCTTCCGAAGGAAGCGAAGTTTTGTTCTTCGGGAACGAGTTTGATTGGTTAGTAGTATGCTTGAACTTGAACTGTTATATTTCTTGGAGAAAGAGGACGTGATCGCTCTCGTAGGCTAACTTCTCAGTTCTATCATTTGTCTTATTTATTTACTTTCACAACAACTCTCAGAGTCTCAGTTTTAATTTTACGAGCATTTCCTTCACCGTTAAAAAGTTGAAGAAAAATGGAGGGAAAATTTTCACTAGGCCATGAGTTGTACTTTGCTGTTAACTATGATCTAACCTTGTTTATTAGAGCGATTAAAGAATTCAGTGGGTCTAGTTGTCCAGGTTACATTACACATGGATCGATATAGGAACACCAAGTGTTTCGTTTCTTGTTGCGTTGGATGTCGGAAGTGATCTGCTCTGGGTTCCGTGTGATTGCATTCAATGTGCTCCCTTGTCTGCAAGTTATTATAGCGTACTGGTACGGTTGCAATCGCCAAATTCTAATTTCTTCATTTCTCTAATGACTTTTTGACATATTTTCAAGTCTTACTCGGAATATGAAGTGCTAACTAGTTCATAAACTGGATAACTGGTTTCCTTTCCCTCCAACTTCAAATAAGTAGCCGAGTATGTCTTTATTCAATCTCAGTTAACTTCCGCACGAGTTATAATTATATCTCAGTTAGTATTACTGTGCAAGAATCATAATCATAAAATAATGAAAGCTCAAGGTTTACTTGTGTGGATATTGAACCGTCCATATGTTCCATATCCCTGAAAGCTGAAATGAAGTCGTTGTCATAATCAGTCTCTTTAACTAGTCAAGTTTACAGGATATTTTACCACATGTAACTTCTAGAGGAAAGATCTGTATTCAAAATTCTTCCACACATATATATTGTCAATGGAAAATAACAGGAAAAAAAAAAAAAGCCAAAGTAAGCTCTTAATTCAATCAGATTATTGTACTGCCTCCAACATAGTAATACATAGTAAAACGGGCATTGCACATGTATGGTTGTTTTATATCAATGAAATCTTTCTTTTGATTACGTTTATATTAGTAACTGTCCTTATCCAGCATTTCACTAAGAACTGTAACGGGTTTTTCAGTTAATTCCACCAATTGATTGGCAGGTGTTCTCTTCTGTTTGGGGCTGTCTATGATGCAGGATAGGGATTTGAGTGAGTACAACCCAGCTTTATCGAGCACCAGCAAGCACCTTTCTTGCGACCATCAATTATGTGCGTGGAGCGCAACTTGCAAAAGACCTGATGAGCCCTGCACTTATAAACGAGATTATTACTCAGATAATACATCAAGTTCTGGATTTATGATTGAAGATAAATTGCATTTGGCATCTTTCAGCAAACATGCGAAACGAAGTCTTGTGCAAGCCTCGGTTGTATTAGGGTGGGTTCTTACTGCATCACATACTTTGATGTTTTCTTTATCTTTATCACTGTTGAACTTGAGATATTGGAATATCACCTAATTCTTTGCCTGATGTCTCTCTCTCTCTCTCTCTCTCTTGATGCAGCTGTGGTAGGAAACAGAGTGGTGGCTATTTGGATGGGGCTGCCCCTGATGGTGTCATGGGTTTGGGTCCTGGAAACATTTCAGTGCCAACCTTATTGGCAAAAGCAGGATTAGTTAGAAACACGTTCTCACTTTGTTTTGATGGCAATGGTTCTGGGAGAATTCTCTTTGGGGACAATGGTTCTGCTACCCAGCAAACAACACGATTTTTGCCCTTATTTGGTGAATTGTATGTGATCTATCAGTATCAACTAAATTATTCGCTAGCCCAATTCTTCCCTTATTATCCTCTGAAGTTATATATTATTATCGTCACCAACTCACCATTCAACCATCTATTCCTTGTCTCAGTGATGCCTATTTTGTTGGGGTGGAATCTTTTTGTGTTGGTAGTTCCTGTCTGCAGAAAAGTGGATTCCAGGCATTGGTTGACAGTGGCTCATCTTTTACATATCTTCCAGCAGAAGTCTATAGAAGGATTGTCTTTGAGGTGATACTGGCATATAAAGATGCGTGATATTTCAATTTAGTATGGCCTAAAGTCTCATATTACTTGATGCAGTTTGACAAACAAGTAAAATTAAATGCTACCAGAATAACTCTCCAGGAGTTTCCCTGGAGTTACTGCTATAATGTCAGGTAGGTGTTTGAAAAAGGAAAAGTGAATAGGGATATTTTCGTCATTTCTTAAGGGTTGACAGGCAGTTCGTTTATTATGGAACAGTTCGCTGGAGTCCGCCAATATTCCTAGCATGAAACTCGTGTTTCCTTTGAATCAAAGCTTTATACATGATCCTGTATATGTCCTCCCTGTCAACCAAGTAAGTTAGCCGTTTTGCTTTCGATTCCCCAGTAATGTTACATAAATGGTTATTTTAGTGGAAGGCCCTTAAAATATTAATTTTTTTAATGCAATTTCCTCAATTTGTTAGTTTTGGGAGTGGGAAAAGTAGAAAGTTTTTGCACATAAGTTTGAGGCACAATCATGTTTAGGCAAGCACCAAAATGTTTACTCCCTTACCCGGCTCCTCTATTATTGTTTCGGAGGCTATTGCATCCAAAATGCCCCTTGTCTAGAATATTGATAATAGCATGAAACTACAGGACTCGTTTGTTTCTCATCCTTTTTCCTTACAGTGGCGCTATGATCTGTCTGTTTTGGTTGAAGTATCAATCTTCTGAAACTTATGGTGCAGGGATATAAAATTTTCTGTTTAACTTTAGAGGAGACAGATGACGATTATGGTATAATTGGACGTAAGTAGGCCTTCTGACTCTGTAGTTTGCATATTCAACTTTTTCAATAATTTTCTATAGCCTAGCTTCTTTTTTTCTGCTGCACAATTACACCTACACGCAGGAGCTTGGACGTGTTAATGCACTTGTGATAAAGTTTGTAATATCTTCTTCCTTTTTTGTGCTACAGAAAACTTGATGGTGGGTTATCGGATGGTTTTTGACAGGGAAAATCTTAAATTGGGTTGGTCCAAGTCCAAATGTAAGCATGTTTTTATTATTATTTACAGTTTGAGTTTTCTTCTAATAAGTGTGTTGCAGCTTCTCTTCCATTACTTCATGATTATTTTATAATCTTTTATAAGAAAGATTTTGATTATTAGGCAACAATGAAATCTTGCTTTTTGAATTTTCTAAGCAGCTTATGATTTCAAGGTTATTTTTACCAATGACCTTGACATCCTGAAGTTAAGTTTTCATATTAAATTCTTCGTTGGTCCAGATTTAAGTTTCTGTGAAGGGTTGTTTGTTATACTTCTGGATTTCGCTTTTCTGATCTGCATGGAAAGAGAACTTACATTAAGCATAATTTAGTTTCACTTTTCTTCATTCGAGATTTATAAGTGTCTGCAAAACTGCAGGCCTGGATATTAATAGCAAGTCATACAATGCCAAGCCTCCTTCAAATGACGGATCGCCAATTGCAATACCATCCAATGAACAAAAAAGCCCACCAAATAGGCAAGCAATTGCACCCACTGCTTCAAGAACGACGTCTTCCAAATCTTCCCCAACTGCATCCCATTTTTCTCCCTTGTTACTTTTGTTTCCGGTTTTCCTGGTCGTTTGTTGAGTTTCTCGAGTTCATATTGTACATGCCGCCTTTCATGACTGGGGTTTCAACTTTCAATTACTAAATAGGTTATCCGTTCCTGTAAGTTATTTATCATATAGGGAAAAATAAGTTGCTTTTTTTTTTTTGGGTATCTATTAACGGATATATATTTTGTAGATATCTCTTACAATTGATCATGCATAAGTACAACTGCCAGTTCAATGTGTAATTCTTTCTATGCTCCTCCATCAACCAAATTATTTGAAGAAGTGCCTGGTTTAGACATTGTTAACAAATAACCGAAGTTCTGTAAAACTATATTGGAAAGGTTTAGGTTTTGTGTACGTCAATAATTTCAGTACATGCAAGGAAAAGAAACTTGGGTGGCGACTGACCAGCTTCCGCACCTCTCGTACTACTTACTATGCTGCAATATTACCAGACAGGTAGTTATTATCTTCCATTTTTTAATTAACTGCTGAAATTCCTAGAGAAATTCTCTTCTATAGGTATGATTTGAAAGTGATGAAAACATTTGACAGGTTACATGAAGAGGAGCATTTTCGGATAAATTGATTGATTAGCTCTATATGGGCTAGTGCCTTGGTCAGATGAGTCATGCAGGGTGACTCCAAGGTAAATAGACCTCCCGCAATCAATGAAATATGAGTTGTGAAAGAAAAATTAATATATTATACATTGCCCAAAAACATTGGATAGCTCTTCACTCAAGTGGTTTAACCTTTTAGATCAATTTGATTTAGAAAAGAAATGGGAAGATGAAATGAGTTGTTCAAGTCACAAAATTTTAATTCGTAATGCAAAAAGAATGTGATTAGGAGGTTAATCGTATTAAGATGAAGCAAAGCAACCTAATGAAGTTGAACTGTGACTGATACCACAGGAGGAGACCACGATCAAGTGGGTGAATTCATGCCAAGGTTTGGCCTTTTCTTTTTCTGGCACTTGCTTTGGGAGAAAGTTGTACTAAGCTAGTGGTCTACTTTCTTTTTCCCAGAAATATTAAGTTTTTGTTATTGGTGCAAATCTTTTCTTATATTTAAGATACGAAATTGTCTGTTTACTTTTAAATTTTATTCAAAAGATCCAATATCTATGAAAATACTATCCTTATAAACTTTGTAATTTTTTTCACTTTTGACAAACTTGAGATTTCATCATTTCAAGTTACCTAGCCATTTCTTATATAGTCAACTTTCCATACACTTTCAACTAAGAGTTTGCTTTTATTTGAATCAACTCATCTCTCTAGATCAAACCCACCTGCCTTAATGCTAAATTATAGAATGTTTTTACCATCACTTTTGGGCTGCACCTTAAACAGTCGTCTCCGTGAACGAAGGACCACCAAGCTGAAAGCTCCTATCAATCTCAACAATTTTCCTAATAAAGTCTGCTTGCCAATGAAGCTCCATAGTTCCACCCCAGGACCAATTTTGGGGAATGAATTTGATATCAGAAATAACGAACTCTCCTTTTCTCCAAATTGATGTAATATTATATTGAGCTTGCATAGATTTGCTTTTGAGTTTTTTCTTATAATAAAAATTTTGTGTTTAATTATAAACCAATAATCAACTGTAGTTGAGACTGATGCGGTCCCACCCTCGTATTTAAATTTTGTAGTTGGTATCAAAGACCAAGAAGAATGGGATTGAATCTTTGAGAATTAGCTATTTGCCCTTCAATTATTCCTTGAAGGGCAAATAAAAGCACTGAATTCTTTGATGGATTTTAAATTACTTACCCTAGTTAATAAATTGTCATATTCTTTCGTTTTGCAGTGGTAACTTAGAATTTTCAATTATATCCATGCATTGCTCTTGAAGGAGAAATGATTTGGTTTCTTGTCATTATCAGGTCGGTGAAGTTCTTTCTCTTTGAATCAATTAATTAATATTTCCCAATATCCCTTCTAATTCTAGTATCTTCGACCTTCGTTTATTACTTATTTAATTACGAACTTGCTCAGAAATGTTCAAATAAGTTTTTCTTTTCGGAAAAAAGTTATGGTTTAAGAGTTTGGTCTTTTTTCTTTATTCTTATGATGTTTTAGTCATCCCGTTATTCTGATCTAAACACTTGTCATGTGATCTATAGATTCTTTCTTCTTTTTATTGTGATCATAAAACAAAATGGTGATAATATCAAAGATAAGAAAACAGCATGGAAAATTCTCACTCGAATTTTGATAAAGTAGCCCCCTTTAGTATAGAAAAAGTGTACCTTTTACCTAGAGAGATTCCATCAAATTGGGTCAATAGCTAGTTCAGAATCACGAGAAGGGCACTGAATATTGGATGAACTAACTTGAAAGAGAAATATATCGATTTATTTCCCTCTCTTTCCTCAATGAAAACTCCAACATTATAAGCTCTTATTAAAAGCTGTTATTATTAGATAGTGATGGATGAAGGTGAGATGAGGTTCAGGGTCACTCGAACAGTTACCGTTCAAAATAGTAGCGTGGCACCCAATAATGCACGGTGCCAAAAAGTTGCACTGTTTGGATAGACCTATTTCACAGGGCTAGATTTGTGTGTTGGGAAATTTTGGCAGTGAGTGGTATGTTCACCCATAAATAAAAGAGCCAACTTTACTCGACATGCTCCCCCTCTTCCTCCTTTTTCTTTCCATAATTTTTTACAGATGCATTTTGCGTCACACAATCTTAGATTTTCTTCATGCATGTCTGTCTAATCATATAATCTAGACACAAAATTTACTTATTTAGAGCCACTATTTGTTTTTCCTGATTATCTCCTTTTTATTTATTGTAATTGTCTTTGTAGGATTTCATTATCCCTATTAAATAATTCTTTTGCCTATGACCTTGAATCCTACCTTCTCAATTATACCATTTCAAATATTGGGTTTGCTAAGAAGTATGCTGTTAGACAAAGAATCAAGGTCACGACACAGACATGATAACATACTATTTAAAAATTTAGGCAGTTTTTTACCGTATGTATAATTGTTATATGAGAGATAAATTTAGAGTCAACAAGTAGTTAGATATATTTCACTTTCGAAATTAATTATTTTTGTCTTACGTTAATGTTTATGTCTATCAATTATATTTAGTAAGTATTCTGCATTCATACGAGTGTTAGACTTGTATTCAATCTGTACCATTAGTATTTGAGACGTTTATTGTGCCAAGCGTCTGGAATGCATGTCCAATAAATAGTGGAGTGTCCAACGACACGTGTTAGTGTCCAAAATGTTAGCGAAACCAATGTCTGATCATGCTTCACCAATATAATAAAGATTGGTAAAAATTGAATTTGATATTGATCCCATGATTTCTTTTTTCAAATTTATATTTTTCACGTTGATTTGGTTGCGTCTATTTTAATAGGTTCAAGTTTTAGGATCTTGGTTACATCTCAAGGAACCAATAAGAGGCTCAAGATTATCTAAAGAAGAAGTAAAAAACTTAATAAAATACATGTGAGAGAACTCTTTGGAACAACCAAAACATCAGCTATAGAAGCTACTTGATGCTAGATAATTTGCAGTATTGAAACAATTTATGTGGGGACTATCTTGTTGGCCATGCGTATACCTAATCAAATCCAACCACATACATAATTCTGAACCCCCCATTTTTATTTAGTAGAGACGAGACATAGAAAAAGCAAAAACTTAGTTTCCATTAGGATCGCCCCCCAACAGAGAGAAATCTAAAACCAGTAATTCAGAGGAAATATGGAAGCTTTTAAGTCATATTCCAGATTTTTGCCACCTTGCAAAGCAGCTACAACTAGTCAGTTATTTGGGCGTGGCTTTGTAATGTATATTCGTTTTATACTTCTTTTTCCCATCTTTCAATTTTCCCTTTTCCAAATTCCCACCACCCATCACGGCTCTATCCTCTGCATCCCACAAGTGGATAATTGTCTGTGAACATAAATTCCCAAGACAAAACTTCTAAAGGTTGGTTCATTTTTCCATGGACGAGTTCTTGAAATTTTTGTAGTCAAAATCACTCTAATATGGAGTGGTTTCATATTGTTCTATTTGTATTTAGTCACTTCATTATCTATTTCATTGGTGGGACCTACCTAGTTTTGGATATTAATTACATGATAAGAGTACAGCAACCGTTCCATACTACTTTCATAACCAACTGCCTGCACCAGCTCCTTTGAATTTTTTGGTTGCCACGTGGGCTCTTCATCAACCGTTGGATTATATGTTATCCACGTGGATATCTACCACTAGAACGTGGCAGTTTCTGATTCATAATCCAAATCCATGTTACTCCAACCATACATGATGCATGCATATTCTTGCGAAGATATGCAGATATATCAATGATCAAAATGTTCTAGGCTTTCATATTTGTCACTATCAGACGGCATTTGGCTCTCAAGCTTTTAACTTTGTTCTTACTTTCACCTTTTCTTATACACGAAGAATTGGGCCATTTTCTGAAAAAGACCAAATTCCAGAGAAAGAAAGAAAGTACAACTTTGGAGTCAAACTTTTGTTTTAAAAATTGCAAACCCTCCCATTATTTTTTCAACAGTCTCTGCAGAACTACATATAAGAAGGGGGTCAGTTCTAGAGAATTAGACACCCAAAGAAGGACCAAATAAACCCTTAATTGTTCAAAGAGTAGGGTGCAGCCTTTTCCATCAATCTTCCCATCTCCCACTTGAAACGCTTATAGGAAGAAGCCTATATACAACCATATAACATACACTTTCCTGGCTGTAGCAGGTCTTGTGAAAATACTTGGCAACATATAGAGAAAAGAAGAGGTTGTACAAAATGGGAGTTGAAGGCACTTGGGAGTACTTCTCCAATCTGATCAATAAGCACAAGAAGAAGAAGAAGCAGATGCAAACAGTGGCTCTAAAGGTTCGAATGGACTGTGAGGGCTGCGGGCGCAAGATGAAGCAAATCATGTCTCGCGTAAAAGGTACGTAAACTTTTGAGTCAAGTAGTGATTTTAGATAGTATGTTCTCCAGTGTTCAAACTCCTTCAATCTCATGCATGTTACCCTCTTCGTTAAATCTCGTACTAATTTCATGAGATGACCACCAAACTCTACAACATTTGATTGCTAGAAAAATGGTAAGATTTTAATATCTGAAGTACATGGTTATACTATCATGGAATTTGAACTTGTTTCCTCTAATTAAGTTCCTCTACTTGTCAATCTAGAGCGGTTAATACTTTAAAACCCAGATGTTATGTATTATATGTTTTCATGGGGCTTGCAGGGGCAAAGCAAGTGGATGTGGACGTGAAGCAGATGAAGGTGACAGTGACAGGTTACATAGAGCCAAAGAAGGTGCTGAAGGCAGCACAAGCAACGAAGAAGAAGGTCGAGATGTGGCCGTACGTTCCAGTTTCGATAGAGCCATACCCGTACGTGTCGGTTGCTTACGACAAGAAGGCCCCTCCGAACATGGTTAGAAGTGTGCCCAACACAGCCAACATTACAGAGACTGTGGTCGACGAAAACTATGTTCGAATGTTCAGTGATGACAATCCCTACGCTTGCTCAATCATGTAGACTTGACTTTGCTTTTAATTAATAATCTCCAAATATATACACACGTCACAATGTCATGTTTGAAGTTTGCAAAACCTCCTGTTTGATTTTCTTGTTCTGTAGTTGATGAGTGAAGTACTCATGATCGTCGGCTTTTGCGTGCTTTGGTGTTGAATAAGTTTTTTGAAATTTATGATAGATTGTAAATTGTTTTGAAAAACGTGTAATTTTCTTCTGATTCGAGTAAATAGTAGGTTCAAAACCCATCGGTTCAGAGTTTTCTATTGTACTCCCTGAAAAATAATTATTTTAATTCATGAGCTTTTAAAATATCTATTTTAATCGCAATTTTTTAAAATCAACTATTTTTTTCACATAATATTTACCTCAATCAATTTACTGGCCTTGAGACATGTCTACATTAGAAGGAACGTTAATCCTCATGCTTGAAGTTACACGGTCCATTTGTTCAAAATTTGAATAATTTATTTGTGTAAAAGCTTTTTTAATTATAATTGCCACTTTTGGTCGAAAGTTGACGTATCTCGTTTGGATAATGCAAAATTTCTACCTTTTATATTGCATAATAATTACCTCTATAAAAAGCGAGTTGTTCAAGTTCAGAGCTAATTTCAAACAGATTCCCTACCCAAACAAGAGTTGAATATTAAAAAAGATTATAAAAGAAAAGAATTCTGTTTTCAACAATTGGGAAGAGTTTTTTTTAAACACTATTATCGAACAGTACTAATAAACCAGGTGTGTTCTTTCAAGGAGAGGCAAAAATTTCTTCTTCTGCCTTTTTGTCTCTTTTATGTGTCCTCCACAACTACAAGAACTAATAATCTCAATGAACTAAACCGGTTATAACTCCATTTTTTTTGCTGCTGTTATGTTATATTAATTGGCTTGATGATCAGTTAAGGCCATTCATTCACAACTGTCCTAACCCCAACAAATTTAAATTCTTTGCCCATCTCACTTGTTTCATTCTTTCTTGGATGAACGTTTAAACTCATGCATTGTCATTTTCTCCATAACTAACTAATTGTGTTAGTCACTTGCTGAGTCTTGTACTAATTTTCAATCTCACAAATCAGAAATCAAGAATATAGAATATAAGAGGTCAACCCTTAAAAAAGGTTATTGGCTTTTCTTATTCAATTCATCAAGAATCGAGTTTCAAGAAAAAACCAACAACATTAAGAAAAATTGAGTTCAACAATGCAGAGGGGAAAGTTTAATCTTCAATCTTAAGAAAGTTAATAAATGCTTTATCTACAAAACTAGGCTCAGAAGGCTCTGGTTGACAAATTATATTGGAGTTATAGGTAATTTAATCTAGTAGTGGTCGATTAAACAAGGGTTTATAAATCATGATTAAGAGAACAATGTTGTTAATTTTTCTACTGAAGAAACCTAACTTGGTCTATTCTACTAATTTTTCCTCTTGATATCCATACCATGCATCCGTAATTCATAGGATAGTTTGGCCTTAGGAACTGAAAATTACTTGGCACTAAATAAAGTAGCGTCTAAGACCATGTATACTAAATATTTTTTATGCACTAATGAAAAAAATTTCATGATATAAGGACCTATTAAAGAAAGGAAACATTACATTTGTTTTCACATGATTTGCAGACTGGAGAATACGAATAAACATCATAAAGTTCATTTTAGGCCAACAGTGTTGGACAAATCAGCTCCTATATTTGGATTCATCTTTGTCTAGATCCAATTCAATTGTTTTTGTACAGCTTTTACCTTCAATGAAACTTGAAACCAACTTCAATATTGGGTATTATCAAAAACCCATGGTTGGTGCAAGAAAAGCTCTCGCCCATTCATTTGCACAGCTCCTGTGGCTATATCCTCTGCACGCTTCCTAGCTGTTTCATCTCTTTTAGCAGATGCCTCAGCATCCTGAAAATAGGAGGACATGGTTGGAGATAAATGTCAAACATCAAAAGCTCATTAACTTCACTGATGCACAAATCGCCTCGCAATTGATTGGTGCAATGATTCAGGTTCTTTGTAATTCAGTAGTTGGCTAACTTAAAGAACACAAATGAACCTGTATTTCGTGCCACTGTCAATCAATTGTTGAAACGTGTGATCTAGAACGTTAACAGTCTCCAAAGTTAAAGATATCAGTTTCATATTGAAGGTACTTTCTAGCAGTATTTCATCAATCCCGTTCTTGAACAATTTCATTGAAATTTCCATGAGAAATAGGGCTCATGTTAGTTTCTGGGAGGATTTTAGGATCGGTAATAACCCCCTCAAAGTTATTTTCCACGACCTCGTTAATCTTTAATCCTCATGATAGTTCTTCTACCCTCCCTCGTGATTATGATTTTCATTTTATAACACCCTTTAATGATCATGATCTTAAGATTTGGCTAATCTCTTTTGTAGTTACAAGGGGTTGCCTATCCCCAACGTTAGATTGTTTTTGTAAATGAACTCTCAAGCCTTCAAGCATGTTCTCTAGTAAGTTCTACCCCTTTAGTGTCTCATGGAGATCAATTTGTCCCCCTTTCTTCTCCATGATCTGGGAGAATCCAAAGAATACTTTATTTGCCTGGTTGATTTCTTCGGGAAGGACAAACACTGTGACTTAATTCAAAGATTTTCATCCATGGTTTTATGTCTCCAATGCCGGAGTGTGACGTGTGTTTAAGAGGTATACAGAGGAACTTAATCACGTGCCTTAAATTTTCCACTTTACACTGAAACTATGAAGCAAATTCTTGTATAAATTTGGAGTTAATCTGCCTCCCAGAGGTTGTAGGGACATGGGGGAGGTACTCGCAAATTCCCCTTACAGCAGAAAGGGATTGGGTTATTTGGCAGGCGAAATTCTTCATTATATTGTTGAATTTAGGCTTGAGAGAAATAAGAGAACTTTAATTTTTAGGTCAACAACACGTGGGGTAGAGGTTCGAACATTCAAATAATATACCTAGATATATACTTTAGTTTAACTAATTGAGCTCTACTCATGTTGGAAAAATTAAGATAACCTAGTATTTCAAATTATCGTCTTTTTCTTTTTCTTCATAATTGGAGCATTATCTCGTAAATTCGTAATGTTGATTTAATCTCTTTTTTTTTTTTTTTTCTTTTTTACTTTGCTCCTTCGTCTAGGTGCTCTTTTCTGCAGGCCCTAAAGCTGGCTGGTTTCTTGTTAAAACCACTGAACAAAACAAGACAACACAATCCTAGAAGGCTAGAACTATCTCAGTCATTATATCCATACGCACCTTTCGTTTCTCATTAACCAATTCCTTTTCCCAACTTCGGGTAAATTTGATGTGGGCCATTTAATGTTCATTTCTACGGTTGAATTTTCCACAACTTCGGGTAAATTGAATAAATACTTAAGAGCTTTTCAAATTCTCATCATTTGAATTTTCAAGTTACTCTTGCAATATTCATTATTTGTCCAATCCAGGGCAACCCTAATTCTGTAATCTTATTGGCCTCGGCACTAAATACAAGTAATTGCGGCCTAAAAGAACAGATCGATGGAACATAAAAAAGCAGAAATCGAGAGAAACCCTAAGCGAAGCTAGAGAGAAAGTACCTTCTGCCGCTTCCAGGATAGGAACTGAGCCTCCGTGATGGGATTCGTCCTTGGGTTATGAGATGTGAGCTTCTCTTTTTCCATAGCGGCTGCTGCTTCTTCTGCCCCCATTTTGTGACTGTATATCAGATTCGTCGATTTGATAGCTCGCCTCCAATGAACTGCTGTTTCGACCTTTGTTATATACTCAGGAGAGAGGGAGGGACACAGAGACGGAGAGAGAGATTTTTTTAAAGAAAAAACACAATAATATATATTTTTCAGTACAAGGAAAGGAGATTCGAGATATATATTAATTACCATTTATTTTGGTGAAAAAAAAACTACTTGCATGTTTAGTTGGGCTAAAAAAACCACTTAGATGTTTAATTTATGGTCTCAATTTTATGAGATAAGAATGGAAATATCGATAAAATTTCAGTATTAATAAATCTTTTAAAAAAGGCATAAAAATAAAAAGATCATTAAATCTATTTAAATTTACAAATAAGTAATTCACTTTTTCATATGAGTTAGAAAATTTTATAATTAATATTATGTCACATTTATTGATATATTTTCTAGTTTGATTCTCCTCTTTGTGGGCATATGGAAATATTGACATGTCAAGAAAAAAGCATACTCTAAATATGTCAAGAAATTTCTTTATGGAATCCCTAGGTTAAGTTATAAATTGAGTTCATGGTTTCAAAGTTTCAATTTATTCAATATAATTTGGGTTAGTTTCTATTTGTCTTTAATATTTTAAAGGTTAAAAAAAATCAATATATTATTGAAAATGATTCATGAAGTTTACCTCAAATTGAAACTTTAAAAACTATAGAAATCAAATAGAAACTAAGTTCAAATCTTAAAGATCATTCATTGAACTTCTAAAATTATAAGGACCCAATTGAAACTAGGTTTAAATGGATCAACGGTGTGCTTTAACCATATTATTATTAGCTTAAATATTTTTTATTGTTCATGTCATTATTTAATGGTTAAATTTTCTATTTTACCATTTTATTTGATGTCAAATTAAGCATATTTTAGTGGTTAAAGTCATTTTTTAAAATGTAGATTCGAGTTTTCAGTTCATAATATAATATTTTTAAAAAATGTGTATTTAATTTTAATTGAGTCATTACCGTTTGAAATGTTTTAATTTAGTTTATATAATTTGATTAAATCTCTCCAAACAAATGAAAAAACAAAAGAACACTCTCTCGAACCAATCATTGTTACTATAAGAGGTTACAATTTTCTTGCATGATACATACTTTTTCAAAAATGCCGTATAAATTGAAAATTTTGGCCTCATTATTACGAATTTATGAGGTGAATTTATAATTTGCGTTAATAATAATAGAGAGAAGATCATTCGTTGAACTGTACTCATGTTTAGCTGATCAACCTTTATCATTAATTAATAACCTAATGTATAATCAATCCATCAAATTTGTAATTAATAAAAAAACACGTCTTAATGCATTTAGATAATTTCTCATCAATATCAATATTGTTCAATAATGACAAAAACTATCAATAATATTTAATCGTACAAAAATTAAAACTAAACTTTTAAAAGTATAAAAACAAATTGACGCAAACCGATGGAAAAGAAGCTAATACATATCATTGATATATTTCTAGTGTCGTATTCGAGTATATATATAATACTCAAATATTTATATGTGTATATATATATATATATATACATATTGAGACCAAATCACTTGTGATCAAAAGTGTGAAGTTTTGTTAAACTTGGAAACATGATCTCTCAATTCACAATGACTTTGGTAACTAGAGAAGGCAATTTGGATGCATTTTCAAGGCATGAATCCACAGCTTCACCAACTGATAGGAAGATCCTTCCTTCAATTCTTTCCACAAAGTTGGTTTTTTTTAGTTTGTGAATCACTTCCCATTTTGGACATGCTATTGTTAGCTGCAAAAAATTCATTGTTGTTTCTTTGTCAGAGCACAAAGAAACCAATAAATTCATGCAAAGAGTCTGTGATTGACGTTTTGGTTCGCTTACTCGTATGTCGTTCAATAATAATTTTTTGTGAAGTTCCTCTAAAGCAATGATTCCTGATGTGTCGATATTCATAACATCTGGATGAGAAGAAAGACGATAAGCCAATTGCCATTTTTTGTCGTGGCAAGTAAATAATTTATTTGAAATACTTTATTATCTTCGAAAAAGAAAGCATTCTATTTTTCCTAAAAAGAATTAAGTCATTCTATTTTAAAAATTGATATTATGAAAATGACTATGAAACAAACATAACCTAATTCACTAAAACTCTATCTGATATTGATTTTGTTTTTTTGAGATGTCTTCTACTTTTAGTTTTCAGTTTTTAAAAGTTATGCTTTCTTTTTTAGTAAAATTTTCACCTCTCTTTATTTAAATTCTTAGTTTCAAATTTAAAAAGAAAAACAAGTTTTTTTGAAAACTATTTCTTTTATTTTCAAAATTTGATCCAGATTTTTAAAATATTTATAAAAAAGTATATAACAAAACCAAATAAGACATGAAAGTAATGTTTCTAAGCTTAATGTTTATATCTAGGATTATTAAGCGGGCCTAAAAAGTAATTTTCACCTAGGCTTAATTTTCAAAAAAATAAAACTAAAAATAAAAGAATTATTATCAAAAGCAACCTTCTTAAATTAGAAAAGATCAACTTACTGCACATGTCAACAACTACTTGTTTTGGTTGCTCTTTTGTTGTTTCTTCAACATCATCATCATTATCTTGATCTGCTTCTACCAATCTCATTATCCTGATAGGAAAATCATTCAAAGAAAGCCCCATTTCTCACATAAACTTTCAGTTGCAAACTTTGAGGAAACTTAAAAAAAAAAAAAAGGAAAAAAATAAACTCATTAGCTTATATAAACCTCTCTTTGATGAAACTGGCATTGGCAAAACAAAGCAAGCCAGAGTTTATTCTGATAATGGAGATTCCTTGAGTTTTCATGGCCATTGGGAATTGCTTCATGTTGCAAAATATGTCACTTCTTGGCAGCCTTCCCACCTCTTCTGTGGCTGGTCGGATTGAGATCAACAATATCTTTGCAAATGAAATTCCCACCTTCAAAATTCAAATCAAAACACTCTTCTTTTAGTTTGTTTTCAATATCGATCGCATTAGTTACTCGATCATAATTTTTGACAACAAAAGTAGGAAATTATTTCGAAAATTAGCTTTCGTTAACACAAACTTAGATTCCCTATCTGCATTCGAGGTCTTTTAGTAGGGTCGAGTCTTACCAATATCCTCATTAGTATGAAGCTTTTGGGTAGAGTTAAAAAGTAAAAATTATGCACATCTATGTCTAAATTCAACGATATCATATACTGTAATAAGAATATTGAGAAAATGGTTATTCCTAAGTAATGCAAGAGCTGTTTGAGATCCTAAATTAGCAACAAGTTGGCAAGCAAGCAATGGCTTCTAAATAAGGAATAAAGCATAAGAGAACCACAGCCAGTTTAGAGAGTCAAAGAGAATATAGAAAATAAAAAGGAAACTTAATCAATCTTCTTGGAATATATGATTGAATGTCCAAATCATACAGTGCAAAAACACTATTTTATTCACTTAGCCTTAACCTAAGCATTTTGTATGCATGTCCTTTTAAAACACAACTCAAGTACTAATAAAAAATTTAACTTACTTAACTCACGAGATATGTCTCGTTAGGTATGGCGTTAAGTTCCAAATCCACAAGTGAAGAGTACTATAACCTATCGGCTTAAGCTTTTGAATTCAGTGGTGATTTATAATTGGTTTAAGAACACAACCGAACAAAAAGTTCTTCAGTTCTCCCACTTTTTAGAACGAAAAGAATCGAATATAGTGTAAACCAACATCAAACTAGCTAATTCGGTTTGGATTTTCGGTCTTTTTTTTTTTCTCTTCTCTTCAGTTTGGTGTACACTGTTATTAGGTTTGTAAGGGGAGCAAACAAAGTCTCATATTGGCTACGGAAGATATTGATCCATGGTATATAAGAGAGGACAATTATTTCCTAAGAAACCTTTTGGGTGAAATCAAAAGCAAAGTCGTGAGGGTTATGCTCAATACGGACAATATCATATTATTGTGGAGATACTAAACGGTACGAGATATCGTTGTCCTTAAGAACTAACTATAACAAGTAAAGTGAGAGATTACCGCCACAATGAGACCAAATTCCACTGAATGAAACAAGACACCAAGGAAGGCGCCAAGGCAGGCTAGAAAATCAAGCTTGTCAACCTTCCAGATGTGGAGAGCTTCATTAATGTCAATGAGGCCAGGCAGTGCAGAGAGAATGATTGAAGCCAATATGGCCATTGGAGTGAAGTAGAGGAACCGCGTGAAGAACTGCAGCATCACCATCACTGTTACTGCCATCACAATATTTGACATCACACTCTCACATCCGGCACTAAAATTCACTGCTGTTCTTGAGAATGACCCTGCAAAGTTCAAAGCCAAACAAACAAACTTGCATTAGCAAAACACATCTCATTCTCCACAATCTGATTCTCAAGCTCCGGTCGGGAGATATCGAGTGCTAACCAGTGGCCAGGTAGCAAGAGGTTAGAGAGCCTGTTATGTTCATGAGGCCCATAGCAATCATCTCCTTGTTCCCATCAAGGTTGTAGCCTTTAATCGACGCGAAGGATCGGCCGACCGCTAAGGCTTCCTAAGGAGAAAACACACAAGATATGATCAGGGTGGAGCAAAGAAGGAAGATTAAAGTTTTTGATGTTGCTCATTGTGGGGAAACTCAACTGTGAGAGCAATAATGGAAGCAATGAGGCCAACTTTGGCAGCTATTCCAACAGTTGGGCTGTTGAATTGCAGCTGATGAATGGAGATTGGGTTTAGGCCTTCTTTAACTTGCTTCACAATCTTAACTCCATGTTTGTCAGCTCTTGATAGAAACACTATCAAAGTGGAGAGAATAACAGATATGAGAGGAGCAATGGCTGACACCCAGAACAGCTTCTTCTTCCTTCTGCCCTGCATTTCAACTCAAGGGATAGGAAAAAGATTCAATTTTTAAACCCAACTTGTGATATTTCAGTTCGGGAGGAAATGACACTACAGAAGTTCGAAAAGGCAATGGCAAAGAAGGGAGGAAGTTTTGGATTTGCTGTTGTTACTTACAATGAACCTGGCTACAAGGAGAAAGATCAGGAATGAGCAGCCAAGGACAATGTTCAAAGGGTACCACTGTAAAGAGGAAAAAAAAAACAAACAAAGAAGAGAGAGAGAAAAGGGTTAAGATTTTGAAGCTTTTAAGTTTGTTTTTTTCTTCTTCTCTGTTTTATCTTGGTATAAAACAGAGAACTTACAGGCTGGTGAACAGATTTCACAACAGATTCCAAAACCGAGACCAAATCAGTTTTTGTTGTGAAGTTGCTGATGGCCAGTAGACCTTTCATTTGCTGAAGACCAATGAGAATGGCTGCGCCAGCCATGAACCCAACAATGGCAGCATGAGAGAGAAAATCCACAAGAAAACCCAACCTGTGGAGATTTTCAGGTCGTAACCAATTAAATTTACCGCAACTCATTGGTTTAAGAGTTTTTAGATTTATAGCATCATAACCAAGGTCTTCCGTTCGAATCCCTATAATATTATTTCCTTTCTATTTAATATTAATAATCTTTTGTTGGACCTTATACTATGTTCTAGTGCCAAGACATTAAATTTATCACAACAAACAACTCCATTGCAGAAGAAAGAAAATAAACAAATTTGAACCGAAAGTGGGAAAAAGAATACCTCAATAGTCCAAATGCAGCTTGGAAAGTTCCTGCAAAGAAAGTAACAGTGAAAACAAGCCTTCTGTAGGCAACTGGGTCTGAAACAGGATCTTGAATTTCTTGAAGCATGGACGACAGAAGCAGAGAAACCACAGCCACTGGGCCAATGGCTATCTCTCTCGAGCTCCCCATTAATGCATAGATTAGAGGAGGAACAGCACTTGTGTCTGAAACTCAGAGAACCAGACATGTCAGAAACAGAGTCAGCAGTTTTAGCAGAAGTAAAAGGTAAAACAGAACAACAATACGAATGAAAAAACAGACACTCACATAGACCGAACTGAGGATCAAGCTTTGCCAAATTAGCATACCCAA